GTGGTGGTCACGCCAGACGTCCACTAGGGAGTGATGTTCGACTATTTCTCGGAGAACGTTCGTGGCGGCCGGGCTCAGCTCGGCCCCTGAGCGGTCCTGCTCCTTGAGGGTGGTGTTAAAGTCCCCTCCCAGGACTAGGCACTCGTGAGAATCTAGGGTGCTGAGGAAGTCAGACACCCGCTGATAGAATTACGGCCGCTTCGGCTCATTGTCGGGGCATAGATGTTAATGAGGTTGACCACGAGCCCCTCCATACGGACTCGGAAATGCAGCAGGTGGCCTGGCACAGCCTCAGTGACCCCTAGCATCTCGGGCCGTAGGTTGGGGGAGAACAGGGTCACCACTCCAGCTTGTCGAATCGTGAAGTGGCTAAAGTAGACCCCATCCGCCCGCTCCAGCTGCCAGCTGTCCTCGGCGGTCGGATCCGTATGGGTCTCCTGCTGGAAAACCACCGAGTACCCCCTTCCTGAAGGTAAGAGAGCACCTGGGACCTGCGGAGAGCCATCCTACAGCCCCTTGTGTTCAAAGTTGCAATAATGAGAGGCGTCATGCGGAGGGCTGGGGGGTGGGGGTTCCTTGTTGGCGGGGGTGTTTGCGGCCCCCCGGCGGGTCGCGCAACAATCCGTGACCCATCCCGTAAGTGAGTAAATCATCACGGAAGTTGTGGCCCACCCGTAGACAGCGGCACCGTGCCTTCCTTTCCCTCTACCCTCCTTTATAAGGGCCCTTGTGGCCTGGAGGATTTGATCAAAGTCCCCCCATAGTTGGAGAGCTAGCTGTACCCTGTTGCGGGAGCCACAGATGTCTTCTAAAAACTCCCTTAACGCTTTTTGCAGCTCATGGGGGGGGGGGGGGGAGGGGGTGCGATATCCTGGTTATTCCCTGGTGGGGCTCTTGGTGCAGCCTCGTGGTCCACTGAGGCGGGCAGGCAGGGTGCAGACCACCGACAGGGTGTCTGACAGGCTAAAGTTATTAGGTCCATCTCAAGCCTTGGGGTAGAAGGAGACGGCGGAGGAAAAATTGCAGCTCCTAATGGGTTGCGGCAGGAAAATGCAAAGGCTGCCCCTTGGGGGGGATCCGCAAAAAAAGGGAAAGAAATAACCCCAAGGGCGGCAATAGCATTGCAGGAGGAGGTGGATTGGGCAGGGACAGGGGTGGGGGTGGGGGCAGAGGCGAGGCTCTGGGCTTCGGGAGGCAAGCAGCTAAGAGGTGGCGCCTCCCGAACAGATTTGAGGGTTAAGGGGGTGGGGAGGGGGCTCCCAGTGATGCTAGGCGCAGGCTCCATGGTGGATTTGGCAGCCACAGCAACAGGTGGTGGATTACCTTCTGTAGGGTGCCCACCTGGGAAGGTGGTTAGGGAGAGGGAGCATGGGCAAAGGGGGACTGGGGTGAGGTTGTCCAGATCAAGGCCAGCTGGCAGAAGGCGATCCTTTCCCTGGGTGACTGGGGTCAAGCCTAGGGCCTCGATCTCCTCATACATGGAGAAGAGGTCATCTTCTGCCATCCCGGGGGGCTCCCCTCTGGCACCCACTATGATGGTCGCTTTGGGGTTCGTGGGGGGTTCGGGTGATATTCGGGCAGAAGGGGCTTCCTCAGGGGTCTCGGAGGGGAGGGTCTCCCATGGAGGGGAGATCCTACCTTCCAATGCTATTTTGTCCTGTCCCCCACCCCCAGACACTGGTGGATGGATCTCACTCGGCATAGCGGAAGGCTCAGTATCAGTGCCTCCCTTCCTGGTCTTCTGGGGGGCCTCCGCATCGGATGGGTGCAGTGGAGCTCAAACCTTCCGCTTGCCTCGCTTCCCCTGGACTAGGGTCCAGCCCTCCATAGCATCGTCTGGAGGCTGTTTAGCAGGGGTTGTGTCGGGGGCGGGGCAGAGGCAATGATTCAGGGACTCGGGGAGGGGGGTAATGGTGAGGCAGCATGGGGGGGGGGGGTTCTCCTTGGGGCGGGCCCTCTCTTATGCCCAGTAATATCTTTGCTGCACCCTCCTCCATAGGCTCTGCCGGATTGTTGAGCGAGGGAACCCCGCCCTTGCTGTTGTCTGGGCATTGTAGGAGAGGTGTCTCTTGGGCCTGGGCGGGAGCAGCAGTGGATCGAGCAGGAGGAAAGGTGGTTTCAGGTGCTGGGCGGCCAGGGGCGTTGGCAACGATGGAGCCGATGTCCTGCCGGGTCTCGGGTACCCCTCCCGCCGGGCCAAGGGGCAGTCTCTTCGGACATGCCCCACTGATCGGCAGAGGTAGCACTGGGCCTCTCCCGTGGAGTAGTAGACCCGATAGCGGGCTCCCTGGTAGGGGACTAGAAAAGACCCCTCGAGTGCCTCTCCCCGTCATGCGCCACCGGTGGCGGTAGAAGCTGCACTTGCCGGCAGAATGAGAGGACGTGACGGAGGGTGGGGTCCTTGCAGCCCAATGGGAGAGGGCTGATGACAGAGACGGGTTTCCCCAGGGTGGAGAGAGCAGGTAACAGGGCTGCACTGGGTAGAAAAGGAGGGACGGAGGTCAGGACTAGGCGGACACCCAAGTCCTCTAGCGGCTCCAGGGGGACGAACACTCCCCCCACACCCAGGCCCTTCTCTACCGCCTCCTGGGTGGCAGCCTCAGATGCTAAGAAAAAGAGGACCTTCCCGTACATTTTGGAGGCCGCCACAATAGCCGTGGGTCCTACCACCCTCACCAACACCTGCACGTATGTCTCCACATGGGGCAAGGCGGGCACAGGAGGCAACGGACGCTGTGCTTCCTGGTCATGGTGAGAAAGGGGCCCCGGCCGGTATTGATGGTAGCGGAGGCGGTGGGTGGGCGAGATGATGAGGTGGCAGGTGGGGGGCGGGGCTGCCACCACCCAGGCATATGCCCTGGGGGCCAGGGGAGGGACGCTCGCAGAGCTGGTGGAGGGAACAGCGGGGAGGGACGCCATAGTCGATGACGAGGCCACAGTGGTGGGGGCAGCCCCTGCCATGGAGGGCCTGGTGGTTGTAGCGGGGGCCCTTTCCCTTCTTCACACCCTGGCCTTTCTGGCTAACTGGGGGGGGGGGGGGCTTTCCTAGAATCTGGGGGGGCAGTGGGCATATCAGCGGCAGTAGTCACCCCGGTGCCTCCTGCTGCCAATGCTCCAGCGGGGGCGGTGGCAGGTGTTTTGGCAGCAGTGGTTGGGGGGGGGGAAGCTTGGGGGTTGGGCAGGGGGGTAGGTGGGGGAGGGGCAGCTGAGGTTGTTAGAGGGACCTCACCCCTCTCATTCCCCGCCATCGTGAGCAGGGAGAGACAGGACGACATCAGAAGGAAGAGGGGGAGGGGGAGGGGGAAGCAGATTAACCACTTCCCCCTGTTGGGCTGCAGGCGGGGGGGGGGGGTGGGGGGCAAATGGGTCAGACTGGACAGGGGGAGGAAACAGGAGTTGGGGTCAGGTAGTAGGGGCAAACTGTGGGGTGGACAGTTCGGGGTGGGGGGGGGGAGGGGGACGTGGACCCACGCACATTTGTCTAAAGAGTCTCGTTTGGTTGGCTGTCATTTCTGGTCCGGACGGTGAGATCAGGGAAGCAGCTGAATCCAGAAGCATATGGCAAGTTGCCATCAGGGACGGACGGCGGGGGGGCCATGACTGTTGTAGTAGTGTTGGGGGGGGGGGGCAATGATGGATCAGGGGGCAGCTCCGTGCCACCACCCTGCGCCCCTACAAATGCAGTTAAGACACAAACTCCCCCCAAACGAGAGTACAGTTCAAAAGTTACCCAGTCTTACGGCCCCCTCCACGATGGTTCGCAGCTTCCCTGGGCACTCTCTCTGTCGACTGTCTTCTCTCCCGGGCTTTGTGGAACACTCGAGAAATGCCAAGCGGATAAGAAGAAAAAAATAACCTGTCGGCCAATTACGGGTCCACAAAAACAGCAAACGGCTGGGTCTGGGGGATTCCACTATCCTCCTCCGGGGAGCGGGTCAGCAGTCCTCCCCCCACCCCTCCGGGGGTTTCAGCTGGAGCAGTAGCAGCGTCCGAGGGCAGGCGTGGGGGGGCTGGCAGCTAGCCCCAGCACTCGAACAGCAGCAGAAAAACAGCAAAAAAAAACAAAACGAAGGAAAAGCGTCTGGCCCGGTCTGGGTGGGAAGCTGAGACGGGGCAAAAAGTAAGAAAAGCTCAGGCCGGGAGAGTAACAGAAGGCAGCTATATTAGCCCCAGGCTAACTAGGTCCCTTTTCCCTGGGTAAGGGAGCAGGGAAGGTTCCAGAACAATCAGGAACCTTCTGGAGACAATTAAGACAGGCTGATTAGAACACCTGCAGCCAATCAAGAAGCTGCTAGAATCAATTAAGGCAGGCTAATCAGGGCACCTGGGTTTTAAAAAAAGAGCTCACTTCAGTTTGTGGCGTATGTGTGAGGAGCTGAGAGTGAGAACGGGGAGTCCTGTTGGAGGACTGAGGTGTACAAGCATTATCAGACACCAGGAGGAAGATCCTATGGTGAGGACAAAGCAGGTGTTGGGAGGAGGCCATGGGGAAGTAGCCCAGGGAGTTGTAGCTGTTGCAGAACTGTTCCAGGAGGCATTCTAGACAGCTGCATTCCACAGGGCCCTGGGCTGGAACCTGGAGTAGAGGGCGGGCCCGGGTTCCCCCCAAATCCTCCCACCTCCTGGTTAGACACAGGAGTCGTCGACCTAGACGGTGGGTTCAGAAAAACTGCAAATCTGAGGGCTGTCATGAAGCTCCAAGGAGAACAAATCCACCAATAAGCGCAAGACCCACCAAGGTGGAGCAGGAACTTTGTCACAGTGGTTTCGTACTGGTGCATGTAAGTAAGTGAGGTATGGTTTCAGATTGCAAATGATGGCTGCAAGACATAAAACTTTTAAACTACAAAAAAAAAAAAAAAAAAAAGGCAAATGAATAGGAGTTCTTTGTTAGTGACTGCTCTAAACTTGGTACTAATATCTATGTAGGAGTTACAGAACTGAAGTCTGTGTTGGTGTACACACTGGTAACTCAGCATACAATTATCATTTCATTTTACCTGGCTTGGCCTCCTCACCTTCAGCAGGTTTGCTTTTGGGAGGAGTTTCCCGAGCAGAAGAATTCACAGCACGACGGATCGGCATGGTGTCGTCTTCAACCTTCTTTAAGAAACAGAATAAGAAAGTCAAGCATATATGAGAAAGAGCCTAAGAAAGTTCCTGAAATGGGTCTAAAGCAGAGTATTAGAAGCTACTGGAAGAAGTGTGTGGAAAAATTTTACAGGCAAGATCTGATGCAATCAGCTTTCTAAACTTACAGGTAAAACCCAAACCAGCTTCTCTGAAGCACATTAGGAGACAAAATAGTTTCACATTTTTTATTCCAGTTTACAATTTACTAGAGAGAATCTTTTCATTCCAATTCAGTTAAATGAGGAGAGCATTTGAGGATTCTGGCAAACTGGACACATCTCAGGGAAATCAGGGGAGGAGAGAGGAGGGGAGGGGAGGAAGCATGCCTACAGGATTTTAATCAGGCTCTCAACCAAGTTTCCTACAAGCAGAGGAGGAAGAGTATAAAGTAACCCTCAGCAGGGCTGGAAGTCAAGGACTGATCCAAGGGCGAGCTTGGAGAATGGGTCAGACCCTACCTCACTTAACTTGTCCGTGTGGGTCAGCTGAGCTCCCGTTAACAATGGAAGCGCCTTATGATGTAAGGGTTCAGCTTCAGACAGATCAGTCGCCATTTAAATTAATTTCTAGCCCCAAGTGCAGGTAACACTGTGGAGCCCCAGGTTTTAACCACAAAGATTTTTCCTAATGGCTTTCACAGTGCAGTGAGGAGTCAACCTAAAGTACAGAAAAGATCTGGTATGATTAACAAAAAACAAAAAACAGCCACTTCTATTAAACTAAAGATTTTAAAAAAATAAAATAAAAAAAATAAATTACAGTTTATATCAACATGACTGACAGTATATACTTCATGTTCAATAAAGATACCACAACATCAACACACACAAACTATTCTACAAAGCTAGGACAAAGGCGGAAGCCATAGCAGCAGTCTGTTATGTTAATGCACGTTCTAAGGGAAAAAGGAGACCACAAAGGAACAAGAAACATTCTAAAATAGAATCCCCACAATACACTATGCCTAAAGCACCAGTTGGCAAAAGGTAAAGCTTCAAGGTAACAGGGATGCCATTCACTTGGGCTAGAGCAGGACTTGAAAAAATTACCCACCTACCTACTAACCCAAGAATGAAGTCTATTAGACAGGAAAAAATATACCAGTGACCCAAGCTATACCCTTCCTCAGCCACACTCCTTAACATTTAGAAGGAATAAAACAGGCTTTCAAACAACTCAATTTACTAGGAAGATAATATACACTGATTTATTGGTGGCTATCACCCACTATAAATTAATACTTGGCAGCAGCATTCCCTCTAACGTTCAAGTGTAATGAATATCTGTCCAAGCTCAAGTTTAAGAGCCAGTGACCATAGTCTCTCCCACACCCTTCATCTTTTCCAGATTTATATTTACTCATTATCTCCTTCATTTCATATCTCACATTCACTATCAATTCCCCTCCATCACAGGATCCCATTCTCCCTCTGTACTATGGATAGCCTCATTCCCCTCCCACTACTAAAAGAGGGAATTGTTTTAAATTCTCCATTCCCTTCCCTTCCCCACCATCTCCTTTAAGAATACTCAAACCAACAATCAACAAAACCAGGGCTGAACCTCACTTCCACTTTCCTCATATACTGTTAAAGGAGCAGTAACACTTAGGCCTCTGTCCTCCCTTCACGTCCAGAGAAATAGCCTAGCCGCACTTTGCCCATTTTCTATTTATGCTAGCAAGTAGGTTTCTCCACATCCTGAGTAGAGGATAAAAGGCTAGGTGCAGTAACTGCTTAAAAGACACTTCCCCCGCCCAAGAGTTTTGTACCACCCCGACTATGCTCTCACCCTTTTCTACTAACTTCTCATTACCACTCAAGGCCGCATAATGCAATCAACAATGAATATCATAGACCAGGGGTGGGAAAACTTTTTGGCCCGAGGGCCACATCTGGGTGGGGGAAATTGTATGCAGGGCCATGAATGTAGGGCTGGGGGAGGGGGTTGGAGTGTGCCTGCAGTGGCCCCTCGCTGCTCCCAGAAGCGGCCAGCATGTCCAGCAGTGGCTCCTGGGGATGGAGTGGGGCAGGTGGCTCTGCCACGCGCTGCCCTTGCCTGTAAGTACTACCCCCGAAGTTCCCATTGACTGCAGTTCCCTGTTCCCAGTCAATGGGAGCTGCGGAGGGTGGTGCCTGCAGGCAAAGGCAGCACATGGAGACCTCTGCCCCCCCCGTCCCCCGCAGGGACATAGTGCTGGCTGCTTCCGGGAGCGGCACAGGGCCAGGCCAGGCAGGGAGCCTGCCTTAGCCCCACTGTGCCATAGGGCTAGCAATCCTGCGGGCCAGACTGAAAGCCCAGATGGGCCGGATCCGGCCCGTGGGCTGTAGTTTGCCCTCCTGTCCTAGACAATTAAAAGGATTCTCTCTTTCACTAGAGCAGAGTTCTGCCTCCATCACATTCCCAAGCAACTCAACCTGGGTCTTCAACACAAACACAGGTTACTTCTGAGGGTATTCTGTACCAAAAAATTAAAAATTCTGGAAGTTTTATTTGTCAATAAATAAATGCAGAGGCTCCAGCATGGCAGTTGGGAGCACAGGCCACTGGCTGCACGAAGATGTGAGATCACTCTGCAGCCCTCCCACACCCAGGACACAGACTCAGCGGTGAGGTTGCACCCGACCTTGACACAACACAAGGCCTGGGCCTGCCCCAGAAACACCCTGGGGCCCTGCCCCTCTCTGCCAGGTGTGGGACAGGCAGGCTCAACCAGGCAGGATCCAAGTGTGGAGGGGCTCAGTCTGAAGGGATCCAGGTATGAGGTGAGAGGATTCTGCGTGGGAAAATCTGGGTGCAGGCAGCTCAGTGCTCTAGATGCAGGTGGGATCTGGATGCACAGAGGTTCATTGTGTGTGTGTGTGTGTGTGTGGGGGGGGGGGGGGGGGGGGGGGGGGGGTTTCCAGGTGCAGCGGTAATGGGACTCTGCAGGGGCTTCCAGGTGAAGCTGGTTGGGGCTCAGCAGAGAGATCTGGGTGCAGTCAGTTGGGGGTCAGTGGCATGGAGAGTCTAGACGTGGGGGCTCAGGGTGGGGGTTTGAGTGCAGGGATCTCAGTGGGGGTGCAGGGATGGGGGTCCAGAGGCAGGGTTGAGGTTCAGTGGGTTGGGATTCAGGTATGGGGAGGCCTAGAGGGTTTGGATGTACTGGTTGAGGCTTGGCAGAGGTGTCTAGGTATGGGAGGTCTGGATGCACATGGGTTGAGTGGATGGGGGGGGGGGGGGGGGGGACAGCTCCCCGTACAGTGATCCCTCCACCCACAGCTGAGGAGTGATGGGGGCAGTAAGTAGGGGAGGATGCTGAGCTTCCTGCAGCTGGGGGAGGGTCTGACACAGCCCCAGCCACTCCTTGCAGGGAAAAGGAAGTCCTGTCCTCTGCTGCCTCAGCCCAGGCAGGAGGGTAGGAGTCACTGGCAGGAGTGTCCCCAGCCCCGCAGTGATTTACTCTGCCAGCTGCCTGAAATGATGTACCTGCACTGCTAGGGAGTAGTACATGACTCTTGCAGCTTCCCTGTCAAAGTCATTTTTCTGCAGGGAAGCAAAGAAATCTATGGGGTACATGAATTCTACGCATACGCAGTATTCCCTCAGGAGTAACAGATACACAAAGCAATATGAGCAACATTCATACAGACAAAACTGGTGGCAGTTGGGGGGGAGGGAGGACGTGAGAGGAACATGTAATATTAGGAAATGATTCCTGAAAATGGAATACAGTCAACTAGGTTCAAGATTAACAAGAAATGACCTTCCCTTTAGAATTTAGTGGACCAAATTCAGCCCTGATACAAGGGGTGTAATGCTGATTTAGGGCTGAGCAAGGCTAAGAGTATCTCGAGTTCAACCTTAGGTCAACCAAAGGGAGGCAGTAAGAGAACTGGAACTATTCCCAGATGAACCAAGCAGGCAGCATTTCAACAGGAGACATACCCTGAGACATTTCTTTAGCAGGCAGCCTGCAAAAGGCAGGTGTTTATGATGGTTAAATACAATTTATCCACTTCCTCTACAATGTAAACCTCATTTGATGCTCTTTAGGACAATTTTTTTTTAAAAAAGAGTGAAGTATCATTTAAAGGTGCTGTGGTCTGTACATTAATGAAAGTGAATGAGGTAGACTAGGTTTGTAAACCCCCCAGTGGTAAAAAACTAAGTTCATAAAGTGCTGCATTCCAAAACACCAAACAAACATGAGGGGGAAAATGAACTTTTCTGTGTCATTCCACTCTTCTCCTGGAATTTCAAAACATCTCTTAGCCATTTGCCCAACGTCCAGCACTTTAAATTTAATTTCTATCTGGGATGGGAGGCCCCATCAAATGTGGAGAGAGAGACAAACACCTAATGAAATTTTGGAATCTATTTCAGAGTCTTTCAATTATTAATCCAATTACTATAAACTATCAAAGAATTTCTACATTCTTTTGGCTACCATTCATTACTCAACAGGAAGTTCAAAGAATCCAGATCACAGAATAACAGAGTTGGAAGGGACCTCTGGAGGCCATCTAGTCCAACCCCCTGCTCAAAAGCAGGACCAATCCCAACTAAATCATCCCGGCCAGGGCTTTGTCAAGCCTGACCTTAAAAACTAAGGAAGGAGATTCCACCACCTCCCTAGGTAACGCATTCCAGTGTTTCACCACCCTCCTAGTGAAAAAGTTTTTCCTAATATCCAACCTAAACCTCCCCCATTGCAACTTGAGACCATTATTCCTTTTCCTGTCATCTGCTATCACTGAGAATAGTCTAGATCCATCCTCTTTGGATCCACCTTTCAGGTAGTTAAAAGCAGCTATCAAATCCCCTCTCATTCTTCTCTTCCGTAGACTAAACAATCCCAGTTCCCTCAGCCTCTCCTCATAAGTCATGTGCTCCAGTCCCCTAATCATTTTTGTTGCCCTTTGCTGGATTCTCTCCAATTTCTCCACAACCTTCTTGTAGTGTGGGGCCCAAAACTGGATACAGTACTCCAGATGAGGCCTCACCGATGTCAAATATAGGTGAACGATCACGTCCCTCGATCTGCTGGCAATGCCCCTACTTATACATCCCAAAATGCCACTGGCCTTCTTGGCAACAAGGGCACACTGTTGACTCATATCCAGCTTCTCATCCACTGTCACCCCTAGGTCCTTTTCTGCAGAACTGCTGCCTAGCCATTTGGTCCCTAGTCTGTAGCGGTGCATTGGATTCTTCCATCCTAAAAGTGCAGGACGACTCATTTATCCTTGTTGAACCTCATCAGATTTCTTTTAGCCCAATCCTCCAATTTGTCTAGGTCCCTCCGTATCCTAGCCCTACCCTCCAGCGTATCTACCACTCCTCCTAGTTTAGTGTCATCCACAAACCTGCTGAGGGTGCAATCCACACCATCCTCCAGATCATTAATGAAGATATTGAACAAAACCGGCCCCAGGACCGACCCTTGGGGCACTCCACTTGATACCAGCTGCCAACTAGACATGGAGCCATTGATCACTACCTGTTGAGCCGGACAATCCAGCCAACTTTCTACCCACCTTGTAGTGCATCCATCCAGCCCATACTTCTTTAACTTGCTGACAAGAATACTGTGGGAGACTGTGTCAAAAGCTTTGCTAAAGTCGAGGAACAACATGTCCACTGCTTTCCCTTCATCCACAGAGCCAGTTATCTCATCATAGAAGACAATTAGATTAGTCAGGCATGACTTGCCCTTGGTGAATCCATGCTGACTGTTCCTGATCACTTTCCTCTCGTCTAAGTGCTTCAGAATTGATTCCTTGAGGACATGCTCCATGATTTTTCTGGGGACTGAGGCTTTAGTTAAGGCGGTAGATTGTTTCTTTGCTGTCTCCACCCTAATATTCATAGAATATCAGGGTTGGAAGGGACTTCAGGAGGTCATCTAGTCCAACCCCCTGCTCAAAGCAGGACCAATCCCCAATTACATCATCCCAGCCAGGGCTTTGTCAAGCCTGACCTTAAAAATATCTAAGGAAGGAGATTCCACCACCTCCCTAGGTAACGCATTCCAGTGTTTCACCACCCTCCTAGTGAAAAAGTTTTTCCTAATATCCAACCTAAACCTCCCCCACTGCAACTTGAGACCATTACTCCTCGTTCTGTCATCTGCTACCAGTGAGAACAGTCTAGATCCATCCTCTTTGGAACCCCCTTTCAGGTAGTTGAAAGCAGCTATCAAATCCCCCCTTATTCTTCTCTTCCGCAGACTAAACAATCCCAGTTCCCTCAGCCTCTCCTCATAAGTCATGTGCTCCAGTCCCCTAATCATTTTTGTTGCCCTCCGCTGGACTCTTTCCAATTTCTCCGCATCCTTCCTGTAGTGTGGGGCCCAAAACTGGACACAGTACTCCAGATGAGGCCTCACCAACGTCGAATAGAACAAACCAGTGATGTAGGTTAGGACAAGAAACACAGGTCACCATTCAAAATGGTTACAAGGTAATTTTTGTTAGTCTAATTAACTACCAGGAAAATCTAAGATCCCTCCTAGGCATACCAGTATGATTCAACAGAACAGATATTAAAAGATAGATTTCTAAAAATTGCATTGGAAATACATATAATTTTACACACACAGAACTACTATTCACTTAGGTTATCCATAAGAGATGACACATGGCTCAGCCCAGTGGCCCATGTAGTCCAGTATCCTCTCTCAGAGTGATCAGTACCAGATCGTTCAGCGAAAGGTGCAAGAAGCCACAGTGAAGTTGTGGAAAACTTTACCTACAGAGACGTTCCTGTCTAACTTCTGTCAGTTAGTTGTCTGCTTATGTCCTGAATGCAACATGAGGGTTTGTATCCTGTGCGCATGTGTGTTTTATATACATATAAAAATAAAAAAATGTATCTTAGTTGTGGATGTTCTCATCCATAAACCTATAGCTGTTTCGAATCCGAAGTTCCACAGGTTAATTATGCATTGTATAAAAATCTCTTTGTATATCTTAAAAACATCTTGCCTTTCAATGTCATTGATATCCGCTTGTTTTATAAGTGTAGAACAGTACTCAATTTACTTCTATTCCATTTATTTTACGTATCTATCATGCCCCCTTATTCCATTCCTCTTGAACCTAAGATGTTTGCAAGTCTTTTCACTGTCCTTAAGTAAAGTCTCTCCATATCTCCAGTCTCCCCTTACTAAAACATTTTCATCTCTGCTAGAAAAGAAAGGAGGGGGTAAACGTATGTGGAGGATGCTCTTCTTACATAAACCCTAATGAGAAGCTCACCAAACCAGGTTTAACAGTACCTTTCACTGGTGAAAACGTAGCACGCATTATTAGAGGACTTTAAGGACTGATCAATCACGTAAGAGACTTTCAGTTCCAAGCAGTGACTCCAAACTGATAGCCAATAAAGGTGAGCAAGATGACAGATAGAAGCGGCAAGGAAGGGAGAAAGCTCAGTTATTGTACATAATTTTTTGGGCAAGACAATTCTGAAGACAATTTTGGGCAAGACAATCACAACCACTTTGCCATTAGTCTTATTTCTAGTCAGCCAGCCAATCTGTCTAGAGCCACCTTGCTTCCCCTCTACACCCAAAACTATTCAAACCCACAGCCAGGGCCACCCTTAACATCCATAAACAAAGTTCCACTGAGGATAGCTGCTGTGAATCAGGCCCTTGTGGATTTTGCAGGGAGGCAGAGGAAGAGAAAAGAAAGGCATGAAAAAATAATAAGGTAAGGAGTGTAAAAGGATAACCAGTCTCAAACAGGGATAACAGAATCCTTGCTACCAGTAAAAGTACTGTTAGTGTATATGTGCAATTGCAACTGCCCTGGGTAGCAGTTTGCCTCAGACAAGAGTCCAAATAACAACTGAATAGGGCAACATGGATGAGTTAAGTATCATTTACCTTCCCTCAGCAGATTCTACAGCACAAGTTAATTCTTTTCAGGGTTGTGCTAGCAACAATGCAGGCTTAGAGATCTCTTGATACCATAAAGAAATACTTTAAAAAGCAGTTTTAAGCACACAGGCTAAGTTATACTGCAAACAAATGTGCAACAGAAAAAAAAAATCTGCAGGGTGGGGTGGGGGGGCTTGGCATTCAGTCTTTTCCTGCCAAGAAAGGCACATCTACTTACAATCATGTAACATACAATACCAGTGACTGTAGAAGTCTTCACTAATCAGTATATCTTTCACTCTATCTTCATAGTGGTTCTGGGACTCAAACCAATAAAGCAAGACACTAGTGTTTTATAACATCTGAAGATTAGAAGCCCTGCTTTAGAGGATATAAAGAATACCAATCTCTAAAAAGCAGTTCAAGAGGTATCGCCTGTTTAAAAATATCAGAACCATAGGCGCTGGAGCACCCATGGAAAAAAATTAGCGGGTGCTTAGCACCCCCCTGCAGCAAAGCTCTCCCCCTCACCCGCAGCACCTCTTGCCAGCCAGTGGCCCTGATGATCAACTCATCCCCCTCCCTCCCACAATGATCAGCTGTTCTGCAGCATGAAGGTGATGCTGGGAGGGAGGGAGGGAGAGAGAGGAAAGAGATTGGGGAAGAGGTGGGGTGGGGGGGTTGAGCACCTCCCGGGTAGGGAGGAAGTCCGCGCTTATGATCAGAACTGAAGCATTAAAAAGCAAGATAATCATAATGAATTGATTTCAAGCCATGGATGTCACCTAATTTTACTAAAATCATTTCCCAATATTTGGTTATTGAATGTTAGCTATCTTAAATCTCTCAAGAGTTCCAAACAAGATGAGCAGCAAAGCAAAAGCGAAAATTTGAATTAAGCCCAGAAATATGCTACATGCTACCCACGAAGTAATTTGAAACTAGCACAGAAAGAAGTTTTAACTAGTTTTCTACAGACGACTGCCCCTCTGAAATCCTCTAGGCATTGCCTGGTTCACTGAAGAGTCACAAAATGCAACTTCTGACTGCAACCCAGGATATCTGCCACATCACAGAATGCTGCATCCTGTGATACCTTTAGTATAAAAAAAAATAATAATAATAAAATTCCATAAAGGGAACAGTTAAAAGTCACTTCTTTGCTGAACAGGCCTTCCTAACTAGGTTCTGGGAGGCACAGTACTCATTACTGATCTTCACTCCACTTTCATTTTTGTTTTGCAGCTCACCTTTAATTGGAGAACCTGGTGCACAGCCTGTTGTCCTGATAAGGAAGTTGGTCCAGTAGAATAAAGCCATTCAAGTCAGCCTAAAAAAAATTAGGAGACTAAAATACCTTACTAAATAAAGAGGAAGAACGCAAGTTTATTCACTGTGTTTTATCTTTGTGTGTTCTTTCAAGTCTTTATTTGGTAGTTTCTATATTAAATAGGAGTGAAATTCTGAGTTAGTTTTAACAGCTGGTTAAGCACCACTTCATCATGGGCGCCTCCACCAAAGTCATCTCCATAAAGCAACTTTTGTCCCAACTAAGCAACAGACTTTAAAGCATAAGGATAGTGAATGGCACAGGTTTCCTGGGAGGTGTCCTAGTTAAGGAGACTTTCTAGTTAAGTAGCTCCTGATTTCTTAGACTGTATCTGTAACTCCCTTGGAGGTCCCCCCTCCCAGAAATCTGTTACAGGCTATTCAAGCCCATGTTACTGCACACATCATAAGCAGTTCCTGTTTCAATTAAAAAAGAATAATGGTCCAATAGGAAAAGGAGGAAAAGGTGCCAAGTCCTCCTTTTCTTTTTGCGGATACAGACTAACACAGCTGCTACTCTGAAACAGGTCCAATATTGAAGATCTAATAACTCACAACCTGCCAGGCTAGAAATTCTTTGGTCTTACCTATATAAATTCTTCCAGTCCCAGTAAATTTTTTTAAGTACTAATCCCTAAGTTATACAACATCACAGACTTTTTTTGGAGGAGTGGATGGATGTGTTGTATAGATTCTGAAAGAGAAAGAAGGAAAAAAAAAGTTACCTGCCTTTCGTAAGTGTTGTTCTTCAAGATGTGTTGCTCATGTCCATTCCATTCTAAGTGTGTGGGTGCCCATGTGTGTGGCACCCGGAGGGCCAGCTGAGGTGCCCTCTGGAGTGCCACACTCATGCCACGGTATATCAGGCACCACCAGCCCCTGGGTGTTTGGCTGCCCCAGGCTGGGCTGGCGACCAGGAAGACGAAGGGCAACGATGACCAAAACTAGCGTCCCTTCTCCTCATAGGGAGAGACGAGGCTGCCAGTATCTTGGCGGTTGCAGAGGTCTGAAGAGCTTCCTGGATGATTGAGGCGTGTGCATACCCAACGAGCAAAGGGTAGCTCTGGTGTCCTTCAACCTGTGCAGCCTGGTGTTCATTTGATCCAAAACCAGACCAAGTCCATCAAAGGGGAGGTCCTAGATAGCGGCCTGCATCTCCTGAGAGAGGACTGAACTCTGGAGCCAAGAACTATGTTGCATGACCACTACCAATGTCGCCAAATCTGCCGCTTCCCATGCCATTTGCAGGGAGCACCTGGCCGCTGCCATGCCCTCCTCCACCAGCGTGCCAAACTCTTGGGCCAATTCCTGAGGGAGGGATTCCTGAAACTTTTTGAGACCGTCCCACAGATTAAAATCGTCAGCAGGGCCTGATGATTCGCCACACAAAATGATAGGCTGGCGGTAGAATAAATTATTTTTGGGACTCGAGGAGGTGGGGACCCACTTGTCCTTTTCGTCGGCCACAGATACAACTACCAAGCCAGGGATGGGTGGGTATAGAAGTATTTGAAATCTTTGGCCAGCACAAAGTATTTTTTCTCTGTCTGTTTCGAGGTGGATGAGATGGAGATGGGGATCTGCCACAAAGCCTTGAATATCTTGAGGACCCCCTCACGCACAGGCAGGGTGACGTGGGTGGGCGTAGAAGCCAAGAGAACATTGAAGAGGGTGTCCTCCTGCTCTACCACCTCTTGTACCTCAAGCCCCAGTTCTTGGCCACACCGGAGAAGGGCTTGCTGCTACTGAAAATCATCCACTGGGCTAGCTCTAGGTCCCGCGACCACCTCATCTGGGCACAACAAGGAAGACCGGTGGGGATGCTGGGGTCTTGATCACCGTCGGAGAAAGAGGCCTTGGGGTGGGCACAGGTTCCTCTGCCCCAACTTCAGAACAGACTTCCAGTACCGGGTCCGGTGCCGGTAGGGCTGCTGCCCCATCACGGCCACCAAGGAGTGCTATGAAGGAGGCATCGCTACGATCGGTACACCCCACACGCTCCAATACAGCCACTGTGCTTGCCATTGGCCATGCTGCCCATTGTGGTGCTGCCGATGAAGGAGCAGGCTCCGGTGCCCAGCCAGGTTGACGAGACCGTGGCGACGGGCTGAACTGGACCTCCATACCAGAGGAGCCACCATCTGGCGACCAGGGAGGAGCTGTCAACGCCTGAGTTTGTTTGCTGGTCATAGCTACCGGTGACCGCTGCTCAGGCATAACTGAATGGTAACTGTAGCGTGGAGAGTGGTGCCGGTGCTGGGGGGACCGATACTGGAATGGGAAATGTTCCCACCATGCTGGTGATTGGCACCGACGCCTAGAGGACGACCGTTGATTCAGCAAGCGGTGCTGGGAATAGTAAGGGGAGCGGAGAGTAGCACCATGGGAATCTGGAAGCTTGCCTAGGCGACGTGATTGGGACCTGCTCCATGATTCCTGACGTGGCAGAGAAGACAGATGCCTTCTATCTGGCGACTGACGTTGGTCCCCTCTTCCCTGAAGGGTCTTAACGGCAGGCTTACCCTCTTAGGGAGCCTTAGCCAGGGTCATCATGGGAGCTGGTGGAGACCTGTGTTCTCTCTGCACCGTGGGAACCTGGGCTGAAAAAGGTGTAGGCAGGCATGCAGGTCCCAAACTGCTCCCAAGAGTCAGTGGTGGACCTTTCAGGGTGCTGGGTGCCCCAGGCAGGGTGGCACAATCACGTGGCTCCAGGGCAGTCTAGTGGGCAGGCCCGGGTCTCTTGGTAGATGATGCCTGGGCCTTCTTGCTCGATGACGGGGAGCGCTTCCTGGCTTTCTTTTTCAACACCAGCGATGGCGAATGGGGCCAGGATTTGGCTGCTGGTAGTGTGCTATGCATGGAGGCTGAAGCACTTGGTGTGACCTGCTTGGACAGCTTGGAAGCCGGAGGGTGGACTCTATCAGGAGAGCCCTGAGGTGGATGTCCTGTTCCTTCTGGGTGCAGGGCCAAAAGTTTTTGCAGATCTGGCACTGCTCCTGAATGCGTGACTCCCCTAGGCACTTAAGGCAGCAGCTGTGGGGGTCACTCACAGGCATAGGCCTGCTGCAGTCTGAGCAGGGCTTGAACCCGGGAAACCGGGGCATGCCCCTCCTGGGGCAAAATCCCACTGGAACCCTAACTACTTAAGGCCAACAAAGTGAACTATATACAACAGCCTTAAGGCCCAAAGTTCAAAATGATAGACAACCACTAGCTCTTGCCAAGCAAGAGGGGTGCTCCAACTGACCACCGTGGTCAGTAAGAAGGAACTGAGAGGGCGTAGGGCCAGTGGTGCCTGACATACCACGGCATGAGCTCGGCACTCCAGAGGGCGCCACAGCTGGCCCTACGGGTACTGCTCAGGCAAAAATCTCGGACGGCCACACTTGAGCGCACGCACACACCTAGAATGGAATTGACATGAGCAAGCACTTGAAGGAGGATACAAAAATACTACAGAATTGGACATCTGACTCCCAATAGCATTAACAGCAGTAATAACTAAAATCAGGACATAAAGGTTAAATGCTACATTTGTGATTACACATCTTCCTGCAAAAAAGCTGTTTGTGGACATGGAGATCAATAACTCATGGAAGCTCTCTCAATGTAAGGTCACAGTGGAGACAAGGCACAGATAACCTCAACTAGCTTTATGAAGCTAAAAAACTATCCACGCCTTGTCTCTACTAAGCTTTTACATCATAAGAACATAGGACTAGAAAGGACCTCCCTGGATCACTGAGTCCAAGATAGCTCTCTCAGTGTTAACTCCCCCCCCAACCACCATAAACTCCAGTCTCTCTCTTTCCGTTCACCCTCTAATCTTCTGAAGTCTATAGAAGCAGCTCAGCAACAGAGCCCTGCATGGATACAAATTTTGTATCCACATCTGATCCACAAACATGGTCCACAGATATCTGCATCTGTGGTGCAGATCTCCATGAATACAAAGTCGATATCCGCAGATTTGTGGGGCTCTACAGATCACTTCTATAGGACGAGAAGATAACTCGTCAGAACCTAACTGGTGTTACCCATTATTTCTAATTTGATGACCAGAGCCAGGTACTGCAGCATTTAACCTTTTTGGCCCTTTCCATGCTAGGGAATGCCAATGACTAAAATAATTTCCAAACATGCTTATACAGTACATTATATACAGTTCTGTTACAGGTAATATTATAACCATGCTGAGGAACTGTGCTAGAACTCTAAAAGATTAGCATAGAGCAGAAGTTTCTGCGTGCATGGCTGTTTAAAAACAACAGCATTGTTATTTTTTGTCCTCTGCATTGGAGCACAAAACCATGATACCTACAACCCATGTTAGTATGCATCCGATGAAGCGAGCTGTAGCTCACGAAAGCTTATGCTCAAATAAATTGGTTAGTCTCTAAGGTGCCACAAGTACTCCTTTTCTTTTTGCGAATGCAGACTAACACGGCTGTTACTCTGAAACCTGTTAGGAAACTGTTTTCAAACAGTTTTAGCTATGGTTCACAGCCTAGATTCCTCATTTCTGCTACTGCAGAAGACTTTTGGAGGGCACAATATCCCAAGTTCAAAAGTCAGCGTGTCAACTTGAAGTTTACTGTAGGTTTGGGTTGGAAGCTTAAAGCTATTATAACAGAAAATTCATTATGGAAAACACTTAGAGAAGTTATGGGCAAAATATGGATACTGAAATTCAGATGTCACTCAAAATTTTGATATACCGCTAACCTGACACTTGAAGGGAGGTTTATATCACTAATATTATGCATCAGGGAGAGAGGTTTACAAGTGATAAATATGACTGTTTAAATTCATGCTAACTGCATAACATTTTTAGAGGGTTTTTTTAATATTAAAAAAGTGTGTGTTCTGGACATAATCCACTAACCGCTCATTTTTTATGTAAAGAAACTCTTTTTTACTTATATTCTCTCTCTCAAAAGGTTATAAGAGGACATCTTAGGTCACTTGTAAACAGACAATAAAAGACATCAGCAACAGACCCAAATGTTATAGTTTTAATCAAAAAGGAAAATGTGAAAAAAATGACACCCTAAAGACTGAAGCAGCTCCCACCTTTGTCTAAATTGTGGGAAAAAAAACAAAACAAACTAACTGTGCATTTTCCTGAGTTGCAGTCAGTGGTTACATACTTAAGAATCAGAGTAGCAGCCGTGTTAGTCTGTATTCGCAAAAAGAAAAGGAGTAATTGTGGCACCTTAGAGACTAACCAATTTATTTGAGAATAAGCTTTCGTGAGCTACAGCTCACTTCATCGGTTAGTCTCTAAGGTGCCACAAGTACTCTTTTTCTTTATACTTAGGAATAACTGTTAAGAATAATTACAAGAAACTGTAAAAGCCAGAGTATACATTTACAGTGTACTCTCACTGGGTTCTTTCCATGGAAAGACAGAATGTGCGGTTGGAAAAGAGTTTTATGTCTTATGCATTCTTGATTTACTGAGACCTTCCACTTTATTCACCAATACCCTTGGACCATATCTTGTAATAGCCATCCTTCTGGTAGAAGAGAACTGAATGTTCTGGGGAAGTCCCGGATGACTGGAAAAAGGCTAATGTAGTGCCAATCTTTAAAAAAGGGAAGAAGGAGGATCCTGGGAACTACAGGCCAGTCAGCCTCACCTCAGTCCCTGGAAAAATCATGGAGCAGGTCCTCAAGGAATCAATCATAGAATCATAGAATATAAGGGTTGGAAGGGACCCCAGAAGGTCATCTAGTCCAACCCCCTGCTCAAAGCAGGACCAATTCCCAGTTAAATCATCCCAGCCAGGGCTTTGTCAAGCCTGACCTTAAAAACCTCTAAGGAAGGAGATTCTACCACCTCCCTAGGTAACGCATTCCAGTGTTTCACCACCCTCTTAGTGAAAAAGTTTTTCCTAATATCCAATCTAAACCTCCCCCACTGCAGCTTGAGACCATTACTCCTCGTTCTGTCATCTGATACCATTGAGAACAGTCTAAAGCCATCCTCTTTGGAACCCCCTTTCAGGTAGTTGAAAGCAGCTATCAAATCCCCCCTCATTCTTCTCTTCTGCAGGCTAAACAATCCCAGCTCCCTCAGCCTCTCCTCATAACTCATGTGTTCCAGACCCCTAATCATTTTTGTTGCCCTTCGCTGGACTCTCTCCCATTTATCCACATCCTTCTTGAAGTGTGGGGCCCAAAACTGGACACAGTACTCCAGATGAGGCCTCACCAATGTCGAATAGAGGGGAACGATCACGTCCCTCGATCTGCTCGCTATGCCCCTACTTATACATCCCAAAATGCCATTGGCCTTCTTGGCAATAAGGGCACACTGCTGACTCATATCCAGCTTCTCGTCCACTGTCACCCCTAGGTCCTTTTCCGCAGAACTGCTGCCTAGCCATTCGGTCCCTAGTCTGTAGCTGTGCATTGGGTTCTTCCGTCCTAAGTGCAGGACCCTGCACTTATCCTTATTGAACCTCATCAGATTTCTTTTGGCCCAGTCCTCCAATTTGTCTAGGATCTTCTGTATCCTATCCCTCCCCTCCAGCATATCTACCACTCCTCCCAGTTTAGTATCATCCGCAAATTTGCTGAGAGTGCAATCCACACCATCCTCCAGATCATTTATGAAGATATTGAACAAAACCGGCCCCAGGACTGACCCTTGGGGCACTCCACTTGATACCGGCTGCCAACTAGACATGGAGCCATTGATCACTAGCCATTGAGCCCGACAATCTAGCCAGCTTTCTACCCACCTTATAGTGCATTCATCCAGCCCATACTTCCTTAACTTGCTGACAAGAATACTGTGGGAGACCGTGTCAAAAGCTTTGCTAAAGTCAAGAAACAATACATCCACTGCATTCCCTTCATCCACAGAACCAGTAATCTCGTCATAAAAGGCGATTAGATTAGTCAGGCATGACCTTCCCTTGGTGAATCCATGCTGGCTGTTCCTGATCACTTTCCTCTCATGCAAGTGCTTCAGGATAGAAGGTGGGTAGAAAGCTGGCTAGATTGTCGGGCTCAACGGGTAGTGATCAATGGCTCCATGTCTAGTTGGCAGCCGGTATCAAGTGGAGTGCCCCAAGGGTCAGTCCTGGGGCCGGTTTTGTTCAATATCTTCATAAATGATCTGGAGGATGGTGTGGATTGCACTCTCAGCAAATTTGCGGATGATACTAAACTGGGAGGAGTGGTAGATATGCTGGAGGGGAGGGATAGGATACAGAAGATCCTAGACAAATTGGAGGACTGGGCCAAAAGAAATCTGATGAGGTTCAATAAGGATAAGTGCAGGGTCCTGCACTTAGGACGGAAGAACCCAATGCACAGCTACAGACTAGGGACCGAATGGCTAGGCAGCAGTTCTGCGGAAAAGGACCTAGGGGTGACAGTGGACGAGAAGCTGGATATGAGTCAGCAGTGTGCCCTTATTGCCAAGAAGGCCAATGGCATTTTGGGATGTATAAGTAGGGGCATAGCGAGCAGATCGAGGGACGTGATCGTTCCCCTCTATTCGACATTGGTGAGGCCTCATCTGGAGTACTGTGTCCAGTTTTGGGCCCCACACTACAAGAAGGATGTGGATAAGTTGGAGAGAGTCCAGCGAAGGGCAACAAAAATGATTAGGGGTCTAGAACACATGACTTATGAGGAGAGGCTGAGGGAGCTGGGATTGTTTAGCCTGCAGAAGAGAAGAATGAGGGGGGGATTTGATAGCTGCTTTCAACTACCTGAAAGGGGGTTCCAAAGAGGATGGCTCTAGACTGTTCTCAATGGTAGCAGATGACAGAACGAGGAGTAATGGTCTCAAGTTGCAGTGGGGGAGGTTTAGGTTGGATATTAGGAAAAACTTTTTCACTAAGAGGGTGGTGAAACACTGGAATGCGTTACCTAGGGAGGTGGTAGAATCTCCTTCCTTAGAGGTTTTTAAGGTCGGGCTTGACAAAGCCCTGGCTGGGATGATTTAACTGGGAATTGGTCCTGCTTCGAGCAGGGGGTTGGACTAGATGACCTTCAGGGGTCCCTTCCAACCCTGATATTCTATGATTCTATGAATGGATCTCCCTTTACAGTTCATTAGTGAGTAACATCTGAAGTTAAACAGATCAGATAGGTGCTGTGATGACAATACCCAACTGCAACTCAGAGTCATGGTTCCCTGCATACACAGGGAAAACTTGGGGAGCAAGAGATTGTTAAACCCTAGATGTTAGGGAATAACAGTATCACTATGGTGCTATCCAATTGCTACCAAATTCACAGTCCATTTTGGTGAATTTCACAGTTATAGGATTTTTAAAATTGTAAATTTCATGATTTCAGCTATTTAAAGCCGAAATTTCATGTGTTGTAATCCTAGGGGTCCTGACTCAAAAAGGAGTTGGGGAGGGTTGGGGGGTGTCGCAAAGTTATTGTGGGGGGGTTGCAGTACTGCTACCCTTAGTTCTTCACTGCTGCTGGCAGTGGCGCTGCCTTCAGAGCTGGGCAGCTGAGGAAGTAAGGATGGCATGATATGGTAGTGCCACCCTTACTTCTGTGCTGCTGCCCACAGAGCTCAGCCGTCACTCCCTAGCCACCCCGCTCTGAAGACCCCCAATTTGAGAAACGCTAGTCTCCTTCATGACACCTGCATTGTATAGGGTAAAAAACACACAAAAGACCAGATTTCATGGTCCATGACGTTTTTTTCGTGGCCAGGAAATTGGTAGGGCCCTATATATAAATCATCAATATTTAAGTATCTTTTTCCATACAGTAAATATATCTGCTTGCCAACAGATTTTTTTTGTTGGGAAAACAATGATGAAAATAGTTATTTTTAGTAAAAATAACTGAAACACTAGATGCCTACCTAGAGTGTCACAAATTGAGTATGTTTAAGAAGTCTGCTATGACCGATAACTCACATGCTTGTTAACCTGGAGCGAATTTTAGCAGCTCAGTCAGATGCCTGAATACACAAACTTGCACGTGAAATGCTGATATAGGTGAGCTGAGAGTCACAGAGCAGAGATAATACCCAACCACAAGCATCACATTTATCTAAACATCACCTCCCTCACTATACGATAAGCTGGTCTCCATGATTTATAGATTTGTCGCCAATGGGCAGTTATCACATAGAAAATTTGTTCTGAGCAGGGTCAACTGTGACAGAGTTTGGTGTTCCCAAGCTGCAGCTGTGGAGAAGGCCAAGAACAGTCAATAGATTCCCAGCTGATGTAAACTGGAATTGCTCTGTTAATTTAAATGGAGCTATGCCCATTTGCACTAGCTAAGAATGCGTTCACTATTCTGTTCTCTTTTCTACAATAGCATACACAAGATTTCATCCAGGAACACAGTCCAGAGGGGTGGACAGGCTAATAAATCCAGAATGCTTCCACTTTGGAACAGTCCAGTTTTTTCTGGCTATAGAATTTACAGCCTCCATCCACTACATTTTAGGTGGGAGAGGAGAGAAGATAAAGGCTTAGATTTTGAAACCTCACCAAAGAAAAGCTTTTTTCCCAAAACACAGACAAATGGTGCCTTGTATTCTAGGATTTGAATCATAGCTCCTAACAGTCTCTAAACACATTCTGACATGGATGAAGGCTTTTCTTTTGGAAACACAATGCACTAGATGACCCCTGCCACCCAGGTGCAGATTTGGGCCACTGCTCAAGAAACCATCTCTACAGTGGCAATCAAGACACCTACCATCTGATTTAAAACCTCCTTTTATTGGAAAAGATTGTGGTGAAAATGGTGTTAAAGCAGCTGGTGTTAAGAAACTTCCTAAGCCCTCATCAGTTCTATTCAGGACTTATGACAGAGAAGCTACTGATATTTCTGGTGGTTGTGCTACCCCAAGCGATTACACTTTCACGGAGTCATTGCTGATTTTGTTAGATCTGTCAGCAACATCGGATAGCATCAGTCTTAGAGAGACAAAGTGGATGAAATATTATTGGACCAACCTCTACTAGTGAGGGACACAAGCTTTCAAGCTTACACAGAACTCTTCTTCAGGTCTGGGAAAGGTACTCAGAGAGTCAGCTAAAGAGAAAGTGGAATAGCATTCAGTTTAACGAGTTGATACATGTTTCGAGAGGCTGCTCAAGGTGAAGTGGGCAGTTAACATCTCTGTAATTGCAGGACAAAGGAGGGCTGGTAGGTTACAGTTTGTTGTAGTGAGCCATAAATCCAGTGTCTTTACTGAGTCCATGATTTTTAGTGTCTAGCATCAACAAAACTGCTATCAAGCAAGTGGTGTCATGTATCACTTCCTCTCAAACAGCTCTCAAATACTGGATACCATAAGGTTCAGTCTTTTATGCCTCCCAACACGTAAATGCTACTGATGAGATAGTGAGGGGTTACAAACGGCAGTGTCGGTGGCATTCAGTTGAACCTCCACTCTACATCTCGTTTCACTCAACTCTGCTGCTTTTGTGCTTGTCTCTGGGTGTGACTGAACCAAGACAAGACCAGAAATAATGCTGCTCGATAAGGGAGTTTATCCCGAGGAGCGGAATGGGGCTCTCTCATTTTCCGAGTGCATGGCTGCCCCTCTCAGTCCAGCCCAGCCTTAGAGCCACATCAAATCCCTCAGCACTGCTGGATATGTAGGTAGCAACGGCCCTCCATGCCATGCCAAGCCAAAAGACTACCACATCTTCTCACCGCTGCCACAGCTCTAGCGGGCACTGCAGGCTACTCTACTGTAAAGCGTGTTACTTGGTGCGGTCTCGGATGGCCCCGCGCAGCTCGGGCGGGAGCAGGGCGCTCCAGTCGCTATCCACACCCTCCTCCAATGCCCGGCGCCCCCGGGGTGCGGAAGGCCGGGCGCCCCCGGTGACAGCTGAACGCTGCTGCCCGAGCCAGGACGCCCTACGCCGTCTGAAGATGGAGCCTGCTCAGCTCCAGGTCCACCCCCTCCTGTCCTCGGTCCCGCCTAGCCTGGCCGCCCGCCTAGCCACTCCGGACACGGGGCCAGCGGCGCGAGGAATCGGGGCCAGCGGCGCGAGGAATCGGGGCCGCTACCTGCCCCGCCCCTCCCCCCCACGCAGTCGGTGAGGGGTCGTGCAGCCCTTCCACCAACAGCGGCCTTCCTCGGCTCCACCCCGGGACCCTACCCCTCCGCAGGGAGGGGGGGTTACTCACCGGCAGACTCAGGAGACACAAAGCAGCCCCTCTAATGGCGGCGGCGGAGAAACCGGGGAAGACAGGGGAGGGGGGCGGACACAGCCGCCTCGCAGCCAATCGCAGCCCCCGAACACCTCTCGAACGCCAGCACGGCCCTTCAGTCAGGAGGGCCCCGAGTTGAGGGCCAATCAGCGCTCCCGCGCCAGGCGCAGGCGCAGAACTAGGCGGGAATCAGAGCGCAGTGCAGCCCCCCACTACAAAACAGAAGCGGGAGCGCGCGGGGTAAGGCGAAGGTGCGGGGCGGGGGGGTCCCCAGTGGCGGCCGGAAGGCGGCCGGCCGGCCGCGCCCCCTGCCTCAGTTACCTCAGTGCTGCTGGCGGGGCCTGACACTTCGGCCGCGCTCACGAGCTGCGCAATCCTGCCCAGCCGTCGCCCGCGCGCGCTCCCGAGAGGGGACACACCTCCTGTAGCACGCGCTCCTTGCAGCCGTTTTTAAAGAGACAGTGACCGAGGCAGCCCTCGGCTGCTGCTCGGGCGGGGGCAGCCGAGCCCAAGGAACGAGGCGGAGAGGCCCCAGCCTCCCACAGCGCGGGAAGAGGCAGGAGGCGAGGCTCAGCAAGTACCTCGGGTTAACTTTGGAGTCGAATGACAGCCAGGCCCATGCTTACCCGCATCACAGCAGCCCTGTGCTTGGTGGCCTGGAAACGGCCCTGTCCAACTTGCAGAGAGAGTTTAAGGGGCAGAACGGGGCGGGGGGGGGGAGGGATCAGTTGCCCTGAAACCAGGCAGAAAAGCGAGCAGGCTCCAGAGCAGCACACTGGTCATAAACTGCTGTAAGGCACATTGCAGGACCTTGTTCTCACCTCTGTCAATCTAGAGTGGAGTGGAGCAATTCCAGATTCATGCTGAATGACTCTCCCAGCCCAAAAACTGGGACAAATAGCTAAGTAGTGTAACATGCACTGATTGGGCATTTACTAGGCTTGAAACACCTCTAATTTACCGCTTTAGAAAGTGGGGGTAACATTTCTTCCCCCCCCCCCCATATCACAGGTGACATAAACTGAAAGCCATGAGGAGGAAGAATTAAGTCCAGCTGATAGAGGAAACACATGTAACTTCTATGCTGAGGCAAAGAAATGAGAATAGCCACTAATAGTGTGTACATTAGCACCTCAGAGTTACAAACTGATCAGTCAACCACACACCTAATTTGGAACTGGAAGTAAGCAATCAAGCAGCAGCAGAGACCAAAAAAGGCAAGTATAGTACTGTGGTAAATGTAAACTACTAAAAAAATAGTGTCACAGTATGGCTTGTTATAGTACTGCTTTCCCCACAGCTGCATCTGCAGTAGAAGTCTGGACCAATACATAATGTCTTGTGGTATATATGGAGCTCCAGATCACCATCCTACATGTGCCTTGTCAAGGTTCCTCCCCCACTCTGAACTCTAGGGTACAGATGTGGGGACTTGCATGAAAACCTCCTAAGCTTACTTTTACGAGCTTAGGTTAAAACTTCCCCAAGGTACAAATTAATTTTATCTTTTGTCCTTGGAATAACCACTGCCACCACCAAACTCTAACTGGGTTTACTGGGAAACATAGTTTGGACACGTCTTTCCCCCCCAAAATCCTCCCAACCCTTGCACCCCACTTCCTGGGAAAGGTTTGGTAAAAATCCTCACCAATTTGCATAGGTGACCACAGACCCAAACCCTTGGATCTGAGAACAATGAAAAAGCATTCAGTTTTCTTACAGGAAGACTTTTAATAGAAATAGAAGTAAATGGGAGTAAAGGAATCACCCCTGTAAAATCAGGATGGTAGGTACCTTACAGGGTAATTAGATTCAAAACATAGAGAATCCCTCTAGGCAAAACCTTAAGTTACAAAAAAGACACACAGACAGAAATAGTCATTCTATTCAGCACAATTCTTTTCTCAGCCATTTAAAGAAATCATAATCTAACGCATACCTAGCTAGATTACTTACTAAAAGTTCTAAGACTCCATTCCTGTTCTATCCCCGGCAAAGCAGCATACCCACAGACACAGACCCTTTGTTTCTCTCCCTCCTCCCAGCTTTTGAAAGTATCTTGTCTCCTCATTGGTCATTTTGGTCAGGTGCCAGCAAGGTTACCTTTAGCTTCTTAACCTTTTACAGGTGAGAGGATTTTTCCTCTGGCCAGGAGGGATTTTAAAGGGGTTTACCCTTCCCTTTACATTTATGACATGCCTAGAAAAGGTGCATCTTGCAGAGATGCTGCAGAGAGCTGGTGGAATGGGATCTCACCCCATTGGGGAGGGGGGGAATATGAGCTAGTTGGTAACAAAGGATGATGCAACTTGAGATCCACTTAGAGAGTCTCTACACAAATAGAGCTTGACCCCTTGATCACTCTGCTATGGAAATAAAAAGGTTGTGTTTTTCTAATTGCTTTTGTTCTCTGTAAACGTCTAGAGAATGGAGCCCTCTCTCCTCATCAAAGGCATGCGGTTTTGGAAAAAATACCAGTAAGTGGATGGGTTAACTCATTTGAATCTCCAAAGTTACTTTAGGGATGAATTTCCAAGGGGGAGAGAGGGGCAAAGAGAGACCTTCTCTTTATGAAAGATGGCATATGGCGGCTCTGCCATGAGTGCTCCCAGCTCTCTCACCCTCCTGGCTGATGTTATGGCTGCTAGGAAGGCAACTTTCATCAAGAGATGGGACGTAGAACAGGTGGCTAATGATTTGAAGGTACGTTTGGTGAGAACCAAAAGAATAAGGTTGAGGTCCCATTGTGGTGTTTGTTTTACCATTGGTGGAAGAGTTTGAATAAGTCCCTTCAGGAATCTAGCCATTGTGGGATGAGTGAAGTTAGTATGGTCCGCAAATGAAAGGTGCTGATTGCTGGAAGATGGACCTGCAGGGAACTGATTGAGAGCCCTAATGTCTTAAGAATAAGTAATGTGACAGGGTCAGGCCAGATGTCTATAGGAGAGTAATCCTATTGGGATACAGGAAGTGGGCGGGCAAAACCCATCCACTGCTAAAGGATTCGCCCCCCCAGCCTAAGAGGGGGATCCACAGGACCTGGATACCAAATAAATCCGGGGGACAACTAATGAAATAACAGGGACAGGAGTGCGGTCAAAGGGTCAAACGAAGGGAACCGAACGGGGACACCGAGCAGAGAACCCCAGACAGCGCCCACTGCTCCTCAAAGGCATCAGTGGATGTTGCCCAGAGGGACTTTGCCCAGATACGTGAATGGACCGAGGATCTGAAATAGGCCCCATAGTCACAGGAGACTCCATCGGCCAACCTCCTCACTCTGGTTTTATAGCTGGCCATTTTAGCTAGGGCCAGGAGGAGGTTGACCAGGAGATCCCGTGACTTTGTGGAGCCACGGATAGGGAGTGTATAAATAAGAAGGTGAGGGGAAAAGTGCAACCAAAAACGTAATAAAATATTGGTGAGGAGCCGGAATAGGGGCTGCAGCCTGGCACACTCCAGATATATGTGTGCCAGGATTTCCCTCACGCCGCAAAAGGGGCAGGTGTCTGGGATGGAGGTGAACCGTGCCAAGAATACGCCCATGCTCACGGCTACGTGAAGGAGCCGTCAACTGATATCCGCAGCAGGACCAAGGTGGAATATAGGCTGGCCCACCGGGGCTCCTCACCCTCCAAAGGTGGCAGGAGGTCCCGCCATTTTGTATCGGGGCAGGACACGAGGGTGAGGGTGTGAAGGGTGTGGAGCACGAACGTGTATAGATGTTTCCTTGGGGCGGTTTGGAAGCAGACCGGCTGCATCTCGTGCAGCCAGCTCACGGTGAAGGGCTGAGGGGGTCAGTTGGGTCCACGGGGCAGGGGTCCAATTAAAAGATCCGGCATGCCTGCGGTAGAGGGTGGGCGGGGCGCGCCCTCGTGCAGGACCCGGTCGAGATAAACCCGAGCAGCGGATGGCAAAGCTGCCTTCACCTCTTGAAGTACGCGCCGGGGAGTACGAGGTCTGGAGAACCCCATGCGCTGAGCGAGCGTCAGGGGATCCAGCCAGTCTCCCCAGTCGTAGTCCAGGAGGTCTCTGACTCTTGTGACTTCTGCCAGGACCAACCTCTGGCGCACCGAGCGGGACTCCGCCACCTGCATGTGGAGCTGGGGGTTGTGTAGCAGGGGCTCTGCGAGGAGATCTGTCCCCTCGGTGGCTGCCCCGGACCTGGTCCTTGAAAACAGTTTCCAGGTCCGGAAGAGGTCTTGGCAGAAGACCGGCAGCCCGGAGAGGTCTCGCGGAACACCTCTCGGATGGAGATAAAGAAGCTGCCAGTCGTATCGGAGCCCTCGGAAGTGGCGCAAGAAGGCGTGTGCCAGAATGCTCCACGCCGGACTACCTGCACCCATAAAGGAGCCTCTGCAGAGCCTGGAGGCGGAAGACATGGATCTGAGTGTGCAGACATTTCAGGCCCTGCCCTCCCTCCTCCAGGGGTAGATGGAGAACCCCTGCAAGGACCCAGTGCAGTCCTGACCAAAAGAACTTCAGAATCAATGTCCGGAGGTTGGCCAGGAAACCCGGGGCCGGGACCAGGGTGTTGAGCCGGTACCAGAGCATGGACAGGACTAGTTGATTAAGCACCAGCGCTTTCCCTTGAAGGGAGAGGCACCGGAGTAGTCCTGTCCATTTCCGGAGCTACTCTATCACCCCGCATTCTAAATTTTGCCAGTTCTCCGGCGGAGAGGGATGCGTGGCAGAAAGGTAAACGCTGAGATAGAGCAGTGGACCCGCGCTTCCACCGGATTGCCTGAAGCGCGGGTGGGAGGGAGCTCGCCTGCCAGCCGTCCCCGACCACCAGGTCAGAGCTCTTGACCCAGTTGACCCAGGGGGAGGAGGCTGCTGAATTGATGGCCTGGCAAGCCTCCACCCGCGCCAAGTCGCCTGGGTCCTGGACCACGAGGAGCACGTCATCAGCGTACGCCGACAGGACCAGCCGCAGCTCCAGCTCCCGCAGCACCAACCCTGTCAACCTCCTTCGGAGGAGACAGAGGAAGGGCTCGATCGCCAGAGTGTACAGCTGGCCCAAGAGGGGGCACACCGCCGTACTCCTCGCCTGAAGCTGACTGGTTCGGTCAGGGTCCAGTTGAGCATGACCAGACACTCTGCGGAGGCGTACAGCGCCCGGAGAAAACCCACAAACTGGGGTCCGAAGCCAAACGCTTGCAGAGTGTTCAGGAGATACCCGTGATCCACCCTGTTGAATGCCTTCTCCTGATCCAAAGACAGGAGGGCAAATGACAGACCATCCCTACACCCGAGTTCCAAAAGGTCCCAGACCAGATATAGGTTGTCAAAGATTCTGCGGCCCGAGACGGTGTAGGTCTGGTCTGGGTGGACCACGTCCGCCAACACGGACCCTAGCCGCAGCGAGATTGCTTTTGCCACGACTTGGTAGTCCATGCTGAGGAGTGAGACAGGACGCCAATTTCGTAAATTGCAGAGGTCCCCCTTCTTCGGCAATAAGGCAAGCACGGCTCATCTGTACGAAAGAGGGAGGACCCCGCTCTGCAAAGACTCGGCCCAGACGGTGACTAGGTCTGGACCGAGGACGTCCCAGAACACACGGTAGAACTCCACGGTCAGCCCATCCGTACCCGGAGATTTATTGGTGGGCATGCAACGGAGGGCTTCCGAGAACTCGGCCAGAGTGAGAGGCAGCTCTAGCCGGTCTCGGTTGCCCACGCTGACTGTAGGGAGCTCCTCCCAGAGCACTCTGCAAGCGTTAGGATCGGTCGGATCTGGGGAGAAAAGGCTTGCGTAGAAGGCTCTCGCCCTCCCGCACATCTCCACCGGATCCGTGAGGGGGGTGCCGTTTTCTGCCAGAAGGCAGGTGACGTGTTTCTTGGCCCCCCTCCTTTTCTCCAGGGCTTAGAAGAAGTGACGGATGCAGGATCGAAGGAGACGGATGCAGGATCGAACAAAGTCACCCCAGGCCCGATGATCCTCGAGGGCTCGGAGCTCCTCCCACTTCTCCCAGCACGCTCCGCAGAGGGGCGGATCCTCGGGGCTGGCGGCTGGACGCCTCTCCAGCTCTAAGACCTCCCGTTCCAACTGCTCTATCGCAACTGCTGTTGGCGCCCTGGGTGTAGTCACGGCAGAAGAGCCGGGCGCGCACCTTCCCCAGGTCCCACCACTGCCGCACCGAGGGAAAGGCACGCCGCTGCCCTCGCCAGGCCAGCCAGACCTCCCAGAAGGACGTCATGAAGCCCTTCTCCTCCAACAAGCTGTTGTTGAAATGCCAATAGGCCGGCCCCGGCCTTTCCGTGCAGAGGGAGGCCGTCACGGTGGCTAAATGATGGTCAGAAAATGGGGCCGGCCGGATGCTGGAGGAGTGGGCTCGTGAAAGATGGAAGCGTGATAAATAAATACGGTCCAACTGGGAGTGGCACGACTGATGGTCCTCCACCCGGACAAAGGTGAACATGGAAATGTCATCCGGGTGGTGGTCACACCAGACGTCCACCAGGGAGTGGTGTTCGACTATCTCCCAGAGGACGTCTGCTGCGGCCGGGCTCAGCTTGGTCCCCGAGCGGTCCCACTCCTCGAGGGTGATGTTAAAGTCCCCTCCCAGGACCAGGCACTCATGAGGATCTAAGGTGCTGAGGAAGGCAGATGCCTGCTGATAGAATGGCAGCCGCTCCGGGCTTGATGTCGGGGCATAGACGTTAATGAGGTTGACCACGAGTCCTTCCATACAGACCCGGAGGTGCAGCAGGCGGCCCGGCACAGCCTTGGCGGCCCCCAGCACCTCGGGCTGTAGGTCGGGGGAGAACAGGGTCGCCACTCCAGCCGTACGAACTGTGAGATGGCTAAAGTAGACCCTGTCCCCCTAATCCAGCCGCCAGCTGTCTTCGGCAGTCGGATCTGTATGGGTCTCCTGCAGGAAAACCACAGAATACCCCCCATCCCGAAGGAAGGAGAGCACCTGGGACCTGCGGAGACCCATCCTACAGCCCTGGGTGTTCAATGTTGCGATTGTAAGAGGTGCCATGAGGAGGACTGGGGTGGATTCTCGCCGGCAGGGACGCTCGCGGCTCCCGACGGGCCGCGCAACAGTCCATGATCTACCCTGTAGGTGAGTAAGGAGTCACGGAAGAGGCGGACCCGCTGGTAGGCCGTGGCGGCCTGCTTCCCGGTCCTTTTACCCTTCCCCATGGGGGCCCTCGCAGCTCGGAGGATTTGATGAAAGTGCCTCCATCGCTGGAGAGCAAGCTGTACCTTGTTGCGGGAGCCACGGACGTCTTCTAAAAACTCCCACAACTCCTCTCACAGCGCATGGGGGGGTGGGGTGACGGTCTCCTGGTTATTCCCTGATGGGGCTCTTGGTACAGCCCCGTGGCCCACCGAGAAGGGCAGACAGGGTGCAGACCCCCGACGGGGCGCCTGATGGGCTGGCACCACTAGGCCCACCTCGAATCCTGGGGCAATAGGGGGCGGCGGAGGGACAATAGGAGCCCCTAGTGGGTCGGGACAGGGAAACACAAATGCCGCTCCCTGGGAGGTCATCTGCTGGAAAAGGGAAGGAGACAGCCCCAGGGGCGGCAATAATATTGCAGGAGGTGGATGGGATAGGGACAGGGTCAGTAACAAGGGGAGGGCTGGAATCAGGGGCAGGGGCAGGGGCGAGATTCTGGGCTTAGGGAGCCAAGCAGCTGGATGGTAGCACCTCCTGATCAGGCTCAAGGGTTGAGGCGGTGGAGAGGGGGCTCTCAGCAATGCCGGGCGCAGGCTCTATGGTGGGTTTGGCAGCCACAGCATCAGGAGTTGGACTATCTTCTATAGGGTCCCCACCCGGGAAGGAAGTCGATTGCTCCACACCAACGAGGGGTGCCCCTTGTGGCTCGGGTCCTGGCCGCGTGGCACAGGCTGTCGCCTGAACAGGCTCGGTGGTCATCAGCGGGGTGCCTTCTGGGGCCGGGTTGAGTCCAGGGGCTCCTCGGAGGTGGGAGCGGAAGCAACGGTTAGGGGGAGGGAGCATGGGAAAAGGGGGGCTGGAGTGAGGTCGCCCAGATCGAGGCCCACTGGCAAAGGGTTGTCCTACCCCTGGGTGACCAGGGTCAGACCCAGGGCCTCGATCTCCTCGTATATGGAGGGGAGATGATTTTCTGCCATCCTGGGGTTCTCCCTGCTGGCACCGAACGTGACAGTCGCCTCGGAGCTTATAGAGGCTTCAGATGGTACCAGGGCAGAAGGGGCTCCCTCGGGGGCCTCGGAGGGGAGGGACTCCCGTGGAGGGGAGATACTGTCTTCTGGTGCTGCCACGTCTTCCCCAGCCGGCACTGGTGGATGGAATACACCCGTGGGCAAAGCGGAAGGCTCGGCATAGGTGCCCCCCTTCCTGGTCTTCTAGGGGGCCTCCGCATCAGATGCGAGGAGCGGAGCTCGAGCCTTCCGCTTGCCTCGCTTCCCCTGGACTAGGGCCCAGCCCTCCATGGCATCATCCGGGGGCTGTCTAGCAGGGATCGTGTCAGGGGGCAGAGGCGATGGCTCAGGGACTCACGGGGGGCAACGGTGGGGCAGCATGAGGGAGGGAGGATTCCCCCTGGGGCAGGCCCTCTCCCATGTCCGGCGGTGTCCCTGCCGCACCCTCCTCCACAGGCCCCGCCAGATTGCAAGCAGCGGGGGTGTGGCTCTCCCGCTCGTCTGGGCATAGTGGGGGAGGTGCCCCTTGGGCCCAAGCGGGAGCAGTGGTAGACTGGGAAGGAGGAGGGGTGGCTTCGGGAGCTGGGCAGCTAGGGGCGCCGGTGATGACAGGGCCGGTGCCCCGCCGGGGCTCGGGGGTCCCAGGTGCCCCTCCTTGCTGGGCCAAGGTGCGGTTCCTCCAGACGTGCCCCATCACCCGGCAGAGGTAGCACCAGGCCTCCCCGTTGAATAATGCACCCGGTAATGGGCCCCCTGGTAGGGGACCAGGAAGGACCCCTCAAGCGCCTCTCCGTCACACGCCGGCGGTGGCAGTTGAAGCTGCACTTGCCGGTGGAACGAGAGGACGTGACGGAGGGTGGGGTCTTCGCAGCCCAACGGGAGAGAGCTGATGACAGAGATGGGTTTCCCCAGGGTGGAGAGGACGGGTAACAAGGCGGCATTGGGAAGAAAGGGAGGGACGGAAGTCAGGACCAGGCGGACGCCCAGGTCCTCTAGTGGCTCTCAGTATTTAAGACTCCTAAATTCCATAGAAATCAATGGGAATTAAGTGCCTAAACATCCTTGACAGGTTTCAGAGTAACAGCCGTGTTAGTCTGTATTCGCAAAAAGAAAAGGAGTACTTGTGGCACCTTAGAGACTAACCAATTTATTTGAGCATAAGCTTTCATGAGCTACAGCTTATGCTCAAATAAATTGGTTAGTCTCTAAGGTGCCACAAGTACTCCTTTTCTTTAAACATCCTTGTGCATCTGTGCCTCTGTGTCACAGTTTCTCACTCTCCCTGAGCATATAATTTACATATGCCCATAATCTGGGGAACAGAGAAAAAGTACCCCCTATTCTGGACTCCCACATGTTGTCATAATTTTGTTTAGTGTTTAAATACAAAACTGATGCCAATTTTATAAATGATAGATTAGATTAAATTGCGTCATGGGCTCGTGTCCTTTGAGATTACATGGTAGAACCATCAGATGCTCCAACCCTGCCAATCTCTACCACCATAATGGGATGTTTGTCCCTTGAGTAGATTGGATCTTCATTTCAGGCTTCTAATACTAACAGTAAGACCTTGAATTTCATTTGTTAGACACTCAGTAGCCAATGGAACATTAGACTGTTATGTCTACACTACAAGCAAGGATGTGATTCCTCTACTCATGTGTGTCCATACCGCTCATGGAGCTAGGGCTAGTATAAATAGCAGTGTAGTCACAGTAGCATAGGCAGTACCAGTGGCAGTACCAAGTACAATCCCCCCGAAACTGGTGGATATGTATTTAGCACCGCTGAGCCCTGCCCCTACTACCTGTGCTACCAGGGCTACCCTGCTACGTATACTTGTGCTACATATGGGCTCCTCACCCTAAGAAAGATGCACCTGTGATTTTTGTCTTCTCAGGTGTAGGTGTGAGGAAAAGAACTCCCACAAAACTTTCTCCAGATTTGTCCACCAGGTGAGAGAAACCATACCCTGTGCTGGAATTGTTACTTTGGTATCAATGGTATCTTTTTGTTTGGTGAGTAGATGGACTGAAGCCAGGTTTGTAGGCAGTGGAGCTGAAACCTGGAGAATGGTGAGACATGGGTGCATGAGGCCATGCAAACAAGGAGGAAAAGACAGCTCCTGACTGTAGTCTCATGTCTGAGGTTGACCCGTTTTATCAGATTGTCCACGGTGTGGAATCTGTCAGTGGGAAGATAGATTCTTGCTGTGGTTGAGTCCAAAGTCACTCCTATGAAATCTATGGACCTCATGGTAGTCCAAGTGGACTTTTTGTGGTTAAGACAAATTCCCAGGGAAGACAGAAGACAGACTAGGAATTGAGTTGCCAGTTGGACTTCCCTGCTGGATCTGCTAGTTATCAAGATATAGAAAGACAATAAAGCTGTTTCTTCTCATCAAGCTACCACCACTGAAAGGACTTTTGTGATGACCCAAGGTGCCATAGCTAGTCTGAATGGAAGGGCTCTGAATTGGAAGTGGTCTTGCCCAATTAGGAAATTTCTGTGGGATGGGTGATTGTAGATGAAAGTGTCTTTCCTATTGAGAGCTGAGAACCATATGCACTTTTCCAGAAAGGGAATTTTTAGTGCCAACGTGACCATGTGGAATTTTAATTTTTGGGTAAATACGTTTAGTTGGCTTTGGTCGAGACTTGTTCTCCATACACAGGATTTTTTGGGGACTAAGAAATATGGGGAGTAGAACCCTTTCCCTTAGTGCTGAGGGGACATCAGTTCTCTGGCTCCTTTCTGGAGTAGAGAACTTATCTCTAGATGAAGAATCTTTGTGTGAGATTGGTCACTGGAAAGGGCCTGGGAAGGGGGTTTGGGGCAGGGAGGTAAGAAATTCAATGGTGTAGCCTTGGTGCATGATGTCTAGTACTCACTTGTCTGTTGTTACTGTCCTCCAGTTATGGCAAAGTGAGTAAGGCAGCCACCAAAGGGTTTTTGGGGGGGCAGTAAGGTATGGCATCAATATCGGTATGCAGTCCTCAAGCATACCATCAGAAGGATGCCTCGGACCGTGGGTGAGGCCAGACATTGATCTGAGAGGTAGAAGAAGTCACATATCTGGGTTTTTGAACCCTTAGGCTTTTGCAGAGGCGGTTGGGGTTCACAGGGTGCTGATGATAGAATGCCTGAGTGGGAGGCCTGGGTCTATAGATTTGCTTATGATGTCTCCTCTTCAGGGCAGGGGTGTAAATGTCCAGGGGGAAGAAGGCTGTCCTAGAGTCTTTAAGGGAGCGTAGAGACTCATCGGTCTTTTCTTGAAAAAGGTTAGACTCATCAAAGAGAAGGTCCTTGATGGTATTCAGGGTTCTCCAGGGTGGTCCAGAAGATTGCAACCATGACTCATGCCTCATGATTACCAGCGTGGTGAAGGCTCCACTGTCTCTACTGTTTCTTGGAGTGATGTCTTGGCCACCATCCTGCCTTCATCAATGAGGAGTTGGAACTGGGCCCTGTCTTCCTGAGGAAGTTTGTCTTTAAAGTGTAAAAATTTAGAAAAATTCAGGGAATCTTATTTTGCTAACAGTGTCCGGTAGTTAGCAAGTCTGAATTGGAGACTAGCCAATGAAAATATTTTCCTCCCCGAAAGGTTGAGGTGTCTAGCACCCATGTCTGTGGGAGTAGTCTTAAGATGCTGTGTCCTGGACCTTTCTGAAACTGCTTGCACCACTCAAGAATTGGGCAATGGATGAGTGAATAAAAACTCATAGAATCATAGAATATCAGGGTTGGAAGGGACCTCACGAGGTCATCTAGTCCAACCCCCTGCTCAAAAGCAGGACCAATCCCCAATTAAATCATCCCAGCCAGGGCTTTGTCAAGCCTGACCTTAAAAACTTCTAAGGAAGGAGATTCCACCACCTCCCTAGGCAGCGCATTCCAGTGTTTCACCACCCTCCTAGTGAAAAAGTTTTTCCTAATATCCAACCTAAACCTCCCCCACTGCAACTTGAGACCATTACTCCTTGTCCTGTCCTCTTCTACCACTGAGAATAGTCTAGAACCATCCTCTCTGGAACCACCTCTCAGGTAGTTGAAAGCAGCTATCAAATCCCCCCTCATTCTTCTCTTCTGCAGGCTAAACAATCCCAGCTCCCTCAGCCTCTCCTCATAGGTCATGTGTTCCAGACCCCTAATCATTTTTGTTGCCCTTCGCTGGACTCTTTCCAATTTATCCACATCCTTCTTGAAGTGTGGGGCCCAAAACTGGACACAGTACTCCAGATGAGGCCTCACCAATGTCAAATAGAGGGGGACGATCACGTCCCTCGATCTGCTCGCTATGCCCCTACTTATACATCCCAAAATGCCATTGGCCTTCTTGGCAACAAGGGCACACTGCTGACTCATATCCAGCTTCTCGTCCACTGTCACCCCTAGGTCCTTTTCCGCAGAACTGCTGCCTAGCCATTCGGTCCCTAGTCTGTGGCGGTGCATTGGGTTCTTCCGTCCTAAGTGCAGGACCCTGCACTTATCCTTATTGAACCTCATCAGATTTCTTTTGGCCCAATCCTCCAATTTGTCTAGGTCCCTCTGTATCCTGTCCCTGCCCTCCAGCATATCTACCACTCCTCCCAGTTTAGTATCATCCGCAAATTTGCTGAGAGTGCAAACCACACCATCCTCCAGATCATTTATGAAGATATTGAACAAAACCGGCCCCAAATGAACAAAACCAGCCCCAAAAACTCTGTCCCTTTAGCTGGCACAAAATATAGTTTTTCAGTTCTCTTTGAGGGAGGGGCACAAAAGGCAGGGGGTATACCACACAGATCTGGCAGGTTCCAAAATGATTGACTATAAGAGCTACCCTAGAAGAGCCAGAGGGCTGGAGGATGTCCAATAAACCGTGTTGTGTGTTCTGTAACTGACACTCGGTTGCTGCCTTCTGTAATAGCTCCTGGTACTGCTTGTGGTCATCGGCTGGGGAGGGGGATGATGGAGCAACCACCTCATCTGGTGAAGAGGATGATACAGCTGTCAGAACCAGTGGAACTGTGTCAAGGTCAACTACTTCCTCCTCAAACGCCAATGAATCTGGTTGGTATTGACTGGGAGAGGTGCTTCTTGTACGGATCTGGGATGTCTGCTGTACAATCTGATGGGGCCCAGTAAGAAGGATTGGCTGGTGGGAGAGGGCCCCAAGACATAGGGTACCAATGGTCCACTGGGTAACCATATTCTGAAGGAGGTGGACAGTTCCACTGCCTCCTGTGGTTCTGTCTGGGCTTGTTTCCCTCAAGGGGTAAGTACGTCTGGATCATCTGATTCTCTCCATGAAATAATAGGTTCCTGCTCTAGTGGCAGCGCTGTCAGTACCAGTGTGAGGATGTTCTCAGTTGTCGATGCAGTAGGAGAGCATTCTCTTCCTCTCAAGGTGGTGTCTTTGGGTGTAAGGATGTCTCTAAGGAGAGCCAGGCCTGGCAAAAGAGGAGACTGTGGATAATACAGAGTGAAAATATCCTCTGGCAGGGTAAAGCGTTTGGTCCTTCCTGAGTTACTGAGGAGTTACTGGTGGAGACTGGTGGATCCAGGGTGTCTGATGGTATAGTATGCAGAGGATTCCACAAGGAGTATGTAACAACCATCAACTGGTGGTTCAGAATGGAGCTCCCATATGGGAACTGCAAGTGCCAGTCTTTTGGCTTGTGGAATGGAGCCTGAATTGGTACCATCAGATCCTTCTTCCTTCGTGCTTTGACTTCTTGAATGGAAGGTTTGTGTGGACCTAACTCTTTTGGACCCATGTGCAAGGACTCACCCAACTTGGACTGAGGTGGGGAAAGATCCCTTTTCTTAGAGGCAGATCTGGACAGGGACATGTCCATATGCCTATGATCATATCCCCTACTCTTGTGAGAGGGTTTTGTAGGCTTAAGTGTCTTACCCTCTGTTCTAGAGCTCATGCTTGGAGAGGCGCTGCTTGCAGTCTGAAACTGCTGTACAGGGGGGGTCTCCTTGGCCTGGAACTGAATGGGGCCTCATAGCCTGCTCCATGAGGTGCTTCTACAGGCAGAGTTCTTGTCCCTCATGAGTTCGGGGAGGAAAGGAGTGGCATATACTGCACTTGGTGGTGATGTGAGCCTCCCCAAGGCAATAAAGGCGGCGCTGGTGTTTGTTACTGACGGAGAGGGAACTGGGGTAGGAGACAGTTCTTGAACCCAGGGACTCTTGGACTAGTACCTCTCCACAGGGGGAAGCTCTCTGGGGTGAGGCAAACTAATCTAGCTATATTAATATTAAAAAAAACCCACAGTCTAAATTACTGAAAGTAGTAAAAAATTTTACAAATTATATTTACACGTATTAAAGTAGAGGGAGATCTAAGTGGACACAGGATTCTGACTCAGGCCACATGGGGAAGAGAAGGAACTGGAGAGGCATTGGTCCACACTGCCCTTTATACCTTTGGTTGAGAGCATGAGGAGATCAACTATGAAAGTGCGGACCAAAGGACACTGCTTACTGTGACACTATGTACCTCAAAGTAGCATCCTTGAATCCCCATATTCACCACTGTCATATGATTATGGTATGTTTTGTGCAAAGTGTGCCTTGTGAAGTATCATTTAAAAAGTCTTGATGTGTTGAACAGTAACATCCTGTTGGATTGTATGTACTATCATTATATATGAAGTATTGCTTTATGTGTTACAAAACTATGTTCTGAGGTTGGGATCACCCACAATCAGACGTTCTGTTACAATAAAGGAGTAGCCATCACTGGCCAGATGATCGTTAATGGCTCATCAACACACAATCCACTATCCCAGAGACTTCTCAAAGAAGGCACATATGTAATGGAGACTGATCAGTGGGGACTGATTGACCCCCACATCACAGCAAGGATCTTTCAAGCAGCTGGAAGAAGGTATAAAACAAGAGGCAGTGACATCATCACTTGGCCTCTCTTCCCCCTCACCTCCAGAAGCAGGCCTGGAAGAAAAGGGCTTTGAACTGATGGAGTTTGGTCCCAGGCGGGCAAAAGATCCAGTCTGTGTATTGAGGAACTGTAACTTGCTTGTACCATCGGTCAATTCAACTCTTGCTTAGACTAATAGTTTAGAATTGAGAATGCGTGTTTACTTTTTATTTTTTTTTATCATCTTCTTATCTCTGACCTTTAGGCTTACCACTTATAATCACTTAAAATCAATCTTTCTGTTGTTAATAAACTTATTTTAATGTTATATCCTTACCAGTGAGTTTGTCTAAAGTGCTTGGGAAATCTCAGCTCAGGTTACAAAGGCTGTTGCATGTCCACTTTCCTATGAAGAAGTGGTGAACTAGGAAATGAGCTTACACTGGCCAGGCTTCTGACCAGTGCAAGATGGTACAGTTCTGGGGTGCAAGACGGAGGTTCTGGTGGTATTGGCTGGACCCTCTCTAATGTTGGTTCATGAGTGGCTCAGAGCTCATTCAGTAACAGAGTTGGGTGTGTCTGTGGATGGCTGTGTAAGTGCTATGCCTGTCAGAGGCTTGTAGCTTGACATTAGCATCATAGCATGAAAGGCAGCCAAGGTTGGTGGGTTTGGCGAGCTCAGCAATCCCTCAGTACAGGTTGCATCCTGGGGACCCCATCACACGTACTAAAAAATTCTGGCCTTTGGTGCATGGTGTACACCCACAGGTGGAATACAGATAGGGACCATCACTGGAAGAAGCACCCAGAGGAGCTCCGGAGCGCTGACATTCAAGTTTGGTGACAAAGAGAGTGGGAGGGCAACCCATTCAAACATGGCCCCAACCTACCAGTGTAGCAACTGTGATCATGCTAATATGGTCGAGAGATGCTCAGGCCTACATCATTGTGGAGGGGGAAGTACTGCCACAATAGAGATAGGAAGGAGATCCTCCATGGAGCGCAGAGTACTACCTCTGAAGCAGAAGGTGGTGTAAGATGTGCAAGTGAAAACCAGCCCGTGAGTCCAGGTCCAGACAGGCTGCAAAGCAACTCAGCAGCTTCAGAATGTGTCTGACCAAGTTATGGAAGAGAATGTGATCTTGGAAGACACTAGTTTCTGTCCGCTAAGAGGAAGGACCAGGCTGACGAGATTCTATCCTCATCCTCATGCCTAAATGTATAACAATCTGGGAGGAAAGGAAATGGCTTCTCTCAGTTGATGTAGAACCAACAGTCCAATAGGCTATTGTCCCTAGAGTGGATCTAGGCTTGGCTGAAGAGGCTTGAATCAGCGAGAGGTTAATGTAAATACCCTGCTGATGTAAATTAGCTATGAGGAGAATAAGGGTAGGCCTTAGCAGAGGTAGAAGAAGTGTAAGTTGGCCCGAGCAAAGTGCAGCTGTTGCTAGTGGGCTGGGAGGATGGGGACATGATCATACACATTCTTCAGGTCCACAGAGGCAAGATTTCCCATGAGGTAGCCTCAAGGATGGATTTGGATGGTGTGGCTTCCATCCAGAACTTTCTGCAGCAGATCTGCATGTTGAGGATGCAAAGGTCTAGGTTTAGATGAAAGCCCCATGTTCGTTTGTCGACTAGGAAGTACCAGAATAAAATCCCCAGCCCTGCTCTCTGAGTGGTGTGTGAAAACAAAAAGGATGATCTTTGTGGTCAGCTAACTTTCAATTTTTACCTCCAAGACTTGGTCTGTTCCTGACAACCAGGCTGTCAGCTGGAAGCCTATAGGCCAAGGTGCAGGAAAGAATTTGATGTGGAATACCCAGAACTGCCCTAACCTTTATGGTTGATTTCGGTGACCTTCCCACTGGAACAGTTGGCGGCGGGGTTGGCTCCTTACAGTGTGTATGGTAACACCCATTGTTTCATGTTCTGTGTGTATATAAATCTCCCCACTGTATTTTCCACTGAATGCATCCGATTAAGTGAGCTGTAGCTCACGAAAGCTTATGCTCAAATAAATTGGTTAGTCTCTAAGGTGCCACAAGTCCTCCTGTTCTTTTTGCAGATACAGACTAATCCGGCTGCTACTCTGAAACCTGAGATTCAGTAGGATTTCTTAAAGGTAGGATCAGTCTGGGAGCAGAAGAAGGATCTTGTGATGGAAATCTGCATGGAAATCTTCCCCCAAGAAAGATGCCTTTAACAGTCCTTGCAAAAGGATATGATCTGGCAGAAGCTCTTCCTTTGGGAGCTTGGGCAGAAAGAGGAAGAAAGCAGATCCCCCTTTGCAGAGTGCTTTGAGATCTACAGAGGAAAAGCATAATGGGAAGAGTTTATTATTTGTGGATTAGGAGGTATACCAGGGATCAGCCGAGACAGCACAAGAGTTCAGCAGGTGCATAGTTTGAAGGGAGATTTCAGCAGCTCCCAATGACGAACTACTGCATAAGTGATTTGCTCTGAGCTTGCCCTCATAACTCTTTGTGATATCACAATTTGATCTGGACATGACTGGTATCAATCACAGATGACGGAGGACAGGAGGAGTTGAAAACTCTGTGCCTCGTGCACAATTGCTGCTGCTTTGTATGAGTAGGAAGCAGTGCTGAGAAGCATGAACACAGAGGACCAAGCCAAGGGGAGTGTTTCACATAATGACAGGATGGCAGTTGGGAGGCTGACACTGGGTATCTTCAATTGTTTAACACAGGGATAGCAGGGCTGTCACACTTTTTCCTTCCTCTTCCCTGAATAATCATGCCTGGGAGGTTTTGCTACACATCTAGTCCGGAGGTGGCTGCCCTAGGGCTACCTCTATTGGAATTAGCTTGGATTGTCTCACTGGGAGTCTGGGCAGCGTGACAGCCTGTAGAGTGCATTATTGCCAGCATGTGATGGTGCCAACAAAGGTAAACAAGGAAGCCATCTCTGAAAGGTGAAACTCTGCCAAGTAAGATAACACAACTGTAATTCAGCAGTTTGTCCTTCAACCTCCCACTCCATAAGAACACACTGTTGAAAATACACATGCTACCACCATCCAAGCCAATGGTGTGGCTGGCTTAAACTCAGTCTAGTGGAACCTCATGAATTCATTGTGATGGCAGTGAGACTAGTGAGGTGGAATGACCTCCCTCTGAGCCAGAGAGGGACCACTCTCTGCCCTTTGGGGGGCATAGTCAGGCCAAGCCCACCCCTCATGCCGTAAGCTGAGAGGCAGGACAGGAAGTATAAGAGGCGGGGCCTCTAGCTCATGTGGGGCAGAGCCAGAGGAGTCAGTCACCTCTGCCTTGCCACTGGCCTCTGGCCCAGGGACTGAGTGACGTCAATCCCTTCCCCTGGAGGAGGACCCTGAGGAGCTGCTGGGACTGCCATCGGACAAGTATCCTGAGGAGCTGTTAGGATTGCTGGCTTCTGAGTACCCCTGCGAGATAGAGGAATCTTTGACTACCAAGCCCAACCAGACTGTGGTAGGAAGTAGCTCAGGGGAAAACAAAAACACTTACCTACCTTTTGTAACTATTGTTCTTTGAGATGTCCATTCCATTCTAGCTGTGTGCGCGCCCATGTTCACTGTTACTGGAATTTTTTTAGCCATAGAGCCAGCTCTGGCACCCTCGGGACCTCTGTGCTCACATGCCAATATATGAGGTGCAACCGGCCCTATGTCCTCTAAGTTCCTTCTTGCTGGTAAATCCCACCGAGGGGTAGGAGAAGGGGTAAGGGAATGGACATGAGCAACACATTTTTTATTCTTCAAGTGCTCGTTCATGTTGATTCCATTCTAGGTGACTCACAAGCAGTATCCCTGGAGATGGGCTCAGAGTTCACGGTTGTGCGGTTTGCAATATTGCTTTACCGAAGCCAGCATCGTCCGGGGCCTGCATGGTGATCACGTAATGGATATGAACATATGGATGGATGAATGACCAGGTAGAAGCCCTGCAGATATCTTGAATTGGCACCTGGGCCAGGAAGGCTGCTGACGAGGCTTGCGCTTTGGTTGAATGGGCAATTACAATCACCGGTGGTGGCACCTTTGCCTGTTCATAGCAAAACCTGATGCTGGTGGTGATCCACGGATTCTCTGAGCAGGCACAGGAAGGCCATTCATTCTGTCCACCACCACGACAAAGAACTGCATCTACTTATGGTACGGCTTAGTCCTTTCAATATAAAAAGGCTAGCACTCTCCTGACATCCAGAGAGTATAGTCTATGCTCCTAGTCTGACTTAATGGGGTTTTGGAAAGAAGACCGGTAAGAATATGTCCTGGTTAGCGTGAAACTGCAAAACTACCTTGGGCAGAAAAGCCAGATGTGGCCGCTGTTGAATCTTGTCCACATAGAACACTGTGTAGGGCGGCTCCAAGGTTAGTGCTCTAATTTCAGAGATCCTATGCACTAATGTTATCGCCACCAGAAAGGAGACCTTCCACGAGAGCAGCAGAAGGGAGCAAGAAGCTAACGGCTCAAAGAGGGGACCTGTGAGCCTGGACAGCATGAGGTTCAGGTTGCAAGGTGGGACAGGGTCAAGGACTTGAGGATAGAGCCGCTCCAGACCTTTTAGAAACCAGACTGTCATGTTATGAGCAAAGACTGATCTGCCCTGAACTGAAGGGTGGAAGGCTGAAATAGCTGCCAAGCGTAGTTTGTCAAAAGAGACAGGCCCTGAAGCTTGAGGTGCAGAAGGTAATGCAGTACTTGTGGCACCTTAGAGACTAACCAATTTATTTGAGCATAAGCTTTCGTGAGCTACAGCTCACTTCATCTGATGAAGTGAGCTGTAGCTCACGAAAGCTTATGCTCAAATAAATTGGTTAGTCTCTAAGGTGCCACAAGTACTCGTTTTCTTTTTGCGAATGCAGACTAACACGGCTGTTACTCTGAAAGGTAATGCAGTAATCAACTGGAATGAGGCCTGTTTGGGCTGAAGATTTTGGTCCGAGGTCCAACATGCGAACAACTTCCACCTGGCTAGGTAGGTCACCCTGGTGGAGGGCTTTCTGCTAACCATCAGGATCTGTTGAACGCAGGCCGAGCATGCCTGCTCTTCCACATTCAACCATTCAGCAACCAAGCCATCAGGTGCAGACCTGCTAGATTCAGGTTCAGTAGCTGGCCGTGGTTCTGGGAAGGCAAGTCTGGCCAGAGCATTAGCTGTAGTGGAGCCACTACTGAGAGCTCCAGCAGCACGCCAAACCAGTGCTGGCGAGGCCAAGCCGGAGCTATCAGGATCACCTTCGCCTTGTCCTGCTTGATCTTCATGAGGACACTGTGAATTAATGGTACTGGCATAAAGGCCTACAGCAGAGCTCCTGACCATTGGAACAAGAAGGTATCGAACAGGGAGCCTCCATCAATCCTGTGAATCGAGCAGAAAACATGGCACTTCCTGTTTTGCCTGGATGCAAATAAGTCCACCTGTGGAGTCCCACCCCTCTGGAAGATCATGCTGACTACTTCTGGATGGAGCAACCACTTGTGGCAAGATGAGAAGGTCCTTCTGAGGCAATCTGCTAACACAGTCCTAGCCCTTGGAAGGTGCAAGGCTACGAGATGAATGGCATGCTACACACAAAAGTCCCACAACCAAAGAGCTTATTGGCAAAGGGCTGACAAGTGGGATCCACCTTGCTTGCTGATATAAAATATTGCGGCAGTATGGTCCATCAGGATTTGGACCACCTTGCCTCTCAGGTGAGGCAGGAATGCCTGGCATGCCAAGCACATTGCTCTGAAGTCTCTGACATTTATGTGGCGAGCGCGATCATCTTGTGACCAGAGACCCTACGTGCTGAGATTGTCGAGCTCCAGAACCCAGATCCAAAGAGATGGAGACCAGATTCACTGATGGGGACGAGGCTGCGAAGGGAACTCCCATCATTCCGACCACCACTCCAGGGATGACCGGATGTGATCTGATACCGTGACTACCCGGTCCAGATCATGTCTGTTGGGGATGTAGACCGATGTCAGGCATGTTTGCAGGGATCTGAGATGAAGCCGTATGTGCTGTACCACATGAGTACAAGCTGCTATGTGGCCTAATAACTTGAGGCACATGCAGTTGGTAGTAAGAGGGTAGGCCCTCACGTGAGAGATCAGGTAGGACATAGATTGGAAATGGGCCTTTGGGAGAAAGACTCTGGCCTGCGTAGAGTAGAGTATTACTCCTATGAACTCTATATGCTGCCCAGGGGTCAGAGTTGATTTATTTTCATTTATTAATAACGCAGATTATGACAGGTGGAGTGCACCAGATTGAGGCTGCTTTGCACCTGGGCTTAAGACCTTCCTCTGATGAGCCAGGCATCAAGATATGGATAAATCTGTACACCTCAATGCCTCAGGTAAGTGGCCACAGGTGCCATGCAGTTTGTGAATACTCTCGGGGCAGATGAGAAGCCAAAGGGTAACACCATGAATTGGAAATGGTGCTGGCCCACCACAAAGCGGAGACAACGTCTGTGCTCTGGAAAATGGAAATATGAAAGTCGAGGGTGATGTACCAGTGTCCTGGATCTAAATAGAGAATGATGGTGGCTAGAGACACCATGCAAAATTTCAGTTTCTTAAGATATTTGTTGAGGTGACACAGGTCAAGAATGGTTCTTAGGCCCCCTTTTGCCTTTGGGATTAGGAAATATCAAGAATAGAACCCTCATGTCTTGAGGGACCTCCTCTACCACTCGCCCCCCCCCCCCCCGGCGCAAGAGGGTTCCCACCTCCTGCACGAGGAATTGCTCGAGAGAAGGGTCCCTGAAGAAGGACAGGAAAGGGGGGGATGCTGGAGAACTGCAGGGTATTGCCCAGTGCTACAGTGTTCAGCACCCAGTGGTTTGATACAACTAGGAAGGGACATAAATGGTTTGAGAACAAACGGGGGGATGGATCCAACAGTTTGACTGGGGCGCTGTCCTGGAGCACACCCTCAAAATGGCTGCCAAGGCCCCCCTTGATGTCGTGCAGGGCCCAACTGAAATGGAGAGGGGGAGGAGGCAGCGTGATGGTGTTTAAAACCTCTGCCCTGATTCTTATTTCTATAGGCACTCTGCCATGATAGTCCCCAGGACCTGGGCAGCAGGGGCAGCCAGAACTGCTTCCTAGCAGCTTGCCGGGTGTAAAGGCCTAGCAAGTGTAGCATGGCCCATCTGTCCTTTAGTCCATGCAACTTACATCGGTCTGCTCTGAGAAGAGAGCATTTTCCTCAAACAGGAGGTCCTGGATGGACAGTTGCATCTCTTGAGAGAACTTCAAGGACTGCAGCCATGAACTGCACCTCATGACCACCGCAGAGGCTATGACCCTGGCTGCTATGTCCGCTGCATCCCAAGCCATCTGGAGGGAGCCCCTTGACACCACCTTGCCCTCCTCCTAGCTAGCCACGAACTCAGAACCGAGGTCCTGAGGGAAGGAGACCTTAAATTTATTAAGGGAGTCCCACAAATTAAAATTATATCTGCGCAAGAGGGCCTGGTGGTTTGACACCTGCAGTTGGAGACTGGCTGTCAAATAAACTTTTCTTCTGAACAGATCCTGTTTCGTTTCATCCTTATTTTTAGGCGTGGCACTTGCCTGACTCTGCCTGTTCCTTTCATTAGCTGTGGACACTACTAATGATCCAGGGCGGGTGGGTAGGTGTATAGATTAGGGTAGGTGTATATTCAAAACCCTTGGTAGGGACAAAATATTGCCTTTCTGCCCTTTTGGATGTCGGCGGTATGGAAGATGGGGTTTGCCAAAGGACCTTGGCTATTTTCAAGACCCTCTCATGCACTGAAAGTGCCGCTTTACCCAGGGCTGCTCTGGCCGAAACATTAAATAATGTGTCCCTGGGCTCTGCAAGCTCCTCCGCCTGCAGGCCCAAGTTAGCAGCCACTCTCTTTAATAGATCCTGATGTGCTCTAAAGTCATCAGGAGGGGCAGAATGAGATGACCCCCCAGCTTCATCCAGAGATTAGGACAATGAAGGCACCACAGTGGGAGGGACTGGGTCAGACTCGCCTACTGGGGAGGTTCCCTGTGGTGTCAGTGCTTGTTCCTCGGCCCCCACTATGGAGCCCGCACCAGTGTCTGAACCTGGTGCCAGCATTGTCAGTCATTTCTCTGAAGCAGCTGCAAATGAATAGTGCGAGTACAGCACTAGCATCATCGGGAGCCCAGGCACTTGTGGAGGGCTCCGCAGTAGCATCTGGCATCCACGGCGACTGCTGTTCACATGGGGAGGGGCTAAATTCCCATCCCAAATCCCCAGAGGAATCAGCTCCTGGGGACCACGGTGGGGCCATGAACATGGTGCCAGAGACCTGGATCGCCTAGCCAGAGACTGCGGCTGCAATGGATGGATCTAAGTGTCTCCCCCGGGGACCCGCGACGCTCCACCACTACTGGCGGATCTCTGGCTGACTTGCCACTGGGTGCGAGAGCCTTCATGGTCTCTCCCGTTGGCCGTGGCACAAGCAGAGGTGGTAGGGCCATAAGGTGCCTAGCAGACTGGCTGACCTGGGATGCTGAAGGCACTGTTAGGTGCCGGGGTCCCCTACCACTCCATGCAGTCAGAGGTGGATGCCTAAGAGGGCTAAACAGTCTTGATGGTGAGACCTCCCCTTGATGTTCCGGGGTGGGCAGATGGCTCAAACATGATCCTTTGCAAGCCACTCTTTTCCCCTCTTTACTCAACATTGGGGGACTACCCCAATTCTGATACTTTGCTGGCACCAGTGAGGGGGAAATGGCATCGAGAAGAGCTCGGTGCAAGAGGGGTAATCCACAACGATGCAGACGTGCTTGGGGCTGAGTCGGAGCAGGACAGCTCCGACGCCATGGGAGGTGTGAAGGGCCCTGCATGAGAAGGGCTCTTAGGGGAATGTCCCTTTCCTTCTGGGTCCTTGGCCTGAAATTATTCCAGTGTCTTCACTTTTCTTTCACGTGCAACTCCCACAGACACTGAGCAACTGCTGTGAGGGTCACTAACCAGCATAGGCTTACTACAAGCTGAGCAGGGTTTGAAGCTTGAGGAATGGGGCATGCCCTGACCCAGGGCAAAGTCCCTGTTGGGACTCTAACCTAACATCTAACACTATCAACTATATACAAAGAGAAATAGCCAGTAGGCAAATAGAACTGCTATCACAGTTGCAAAGCAAGAGGAAGGTGCTCAGACCAACCGTCATGGGTAAAAAGAAACTAAGAGGGTGTAGGGCTGGCAGCACCTCATATACTGGCGTGTGAACATGGGACTCCAAAGGGCACCAGAGCCAGTCCTATGGATACCACTCAGGCAAAAACTTTTGACACCAGTGCAAATGGGCATGCACACATCTAGAATGGAAGCAACATGAGCAAGCACTCTAAGAAGAACCAGACTTTAGTCAGGTTTTGCTGTCAGACCATGAGCCAGTGTGTTTTGGTGGGATCCCTACTGACCCAGTGGTGGAACCCTCCGCTACTGTCAGGGCCCTGGACAGGGACCAGAGGAACAGGTTGGGTCTGGGTCCCCCTACCCGCTGCTGCCAGCCCCACCCCAGGGGATGGCAACCTCCCTACCTTAGGCTGGACGGCCTGTGTTTGCTTATTGTTCTGCCTTACCTGAGAGCCAGAGCCTTAAAATGGCTTATTGCTCTGCCATGCCAGAAGGCCAGAGCCATTAGACTGCTTATTGCTCTGTCCTGCCCGGCCAGCTAGAGCCTTTAAACTGCTTATTACTCTGCCCCGCCACAAGGGCCAGGGCCAGAGACTGTTGATTTGCTAATTCTCTTGCTGCTTAACTTTGATTGCTGTGACTAGTGAAGCAGAGTGGCCTCCCGCTGAGCCAGACTGGGAGGGATAACTGCCAACACACTACAGAGACCCATTGCAAATGCTAAAATCTGCAAGGCAAGGAATAAGCAAACAGAGTAAACAATAATGTATCACTCCAGGCTTGTCTACAGGAGAAATTGACTGTAATAGCTATTGCAGAAGAAACTATTCCACCATTACTATTCCAGAAAAGCTCTCAGTAGGGATACTCTATTCCGGAATAAAAATCACTTTATTCCACAATAATTGCTACCTTTATTCTGGAATAGTGTCCACAAAGGAATAGTAGTCAATTTCCCTCTGTAGAAAGCCCTAAACATACTCACCCACTTTGACAAGGTTAGTGTAGTACTTTTTAACATTCAGTTATATACTAGTTAATATTCTGTAGTGCATAAATCTTAGTAACATGAGATTTCATTACAGACTCTACCATTACACCATTGCTGAGCAGTAGGGTGAGACAGCCAAGTTGTGTGCAAACCACACTGTTTGTGGAGCTTGCAATTATATAACACCCCACAGCAGCAGCTACAGCAATTGCTTACATGGAAAAGTTCCATTAGGAAAGTACTGATTTTATTGAATGTAGTAGTGTTAGCTTTTTTTAAAATGCAATTTAGCAGCTGGAAACAAGAAAGAGTAGCCAACATGGTATCACCAGCAGATTTCCATGGATCATAGCCTGGGCACCTCTGCAGCAGAGAATAACCATGAGGAAGTTATTTCAACAAACCGCTATGATGTTATTGTTAGCACAGATGGTAACTACAGCCCTGGGGGGATGTGGGAGAAAATGTAGAAAATGGCAGCGAATTTTCCCAGATAGTTGCAGGGATTTAGCTCACGAAAGCTCATGCTCAAATAAATTGGTTAGTCTCTAAGGTGCCACAAGTACTCCTTTTCTTTTTGCGAATACAGACTAACACGGCTGTTCCTCTGAAACCTAATAAAACTTCTGTAAGCAAACTGTCCTAGTCACATTCACACTAACTAGTTATAAACTATGCCTAAACCAAGTCACTGTGGTCTCATGAAAATGACATGAGGTAGATAAGCAGGACTAGGAGTCTCAGCAGTTACATCTGGCAGCACAGCAGGACAGAAGTTAAACTCTGACATCAAGCCTTCTACTCCCCAGCTCTGAAATGTCCCATCCACACTGACCAGGCAAACTCTTAGCATGGAACAATTTCCAACCAGTTCTATCTGTATAGAGAAGGCCTTAGATTACTCCTACTCAGTGTCAGCATTTGCTCTCCCAACTAGGCTGCTAGGTTAACACTTTATAGGAATAATCTGGGTGGCGAAGAATTCATGCATTTGCAGATCCTTTTTGGCTAGAGACACTGTTCAGTCAGGCTGGACTCACAGGGCAGCAGGGTGGTGGGTGTCTCAGTACTCTGAAAATGAGCAAAACTTGCTTTAACTCCCTTATGAAATCTACAATTTTCTTGCTCCCCCACTTCCCCACAGTCTCAAAAAATCCCTGTAAGTGCAAAGGTCAAATTATAACCACACACTGATCTTTTGAAATGGCACTTCAGAGCACTTGTGTCAGCTCCAGAATGCACTGGTGCCACTGTAAGCTGTCATGTAGCCAAAGCCTGAGACTCAGAAATCCTGAGTTGTATTCCAGACTCAGGAGGCGAGTATGTGTTCTGGTGGTCACAGATCCTTATGCCCTTATTCTCCCTAACCTGATCCCATTCTGTTTCCCTATCCTGGTTCCTTCTCTCAGTCCTAGCCTCCTCACCTAGATAGTTCCAGTTTCCCCTCACAGATCATCATATGATGTCCCAATTTACTCTCTCTGTACCCCACACCAAACCCCGTGGTCTGGATGCTGTCACTTCTGCTTGAGTCAAGCACTTCCTCCATGCTGCCTGGGCACCATCAGGGGCGCACTGAGAAAATGGGGCAGAGCGTCCTTGCTCTGAGGTCCCATGCCCAGAGCTACAGCGGTCTGCAGCAGCTGGGAGCAACAGTTGCAGGAAAGGTCCTGGTCAGCCCCTGCAGTCCTGAGTTGGAGCATGCACACCACAAATGGTGTCATTGAAGAATTTAACACCCAAACGCTAACAAGCCTTTACTGAGCATATGTGAACTCAGATTTTTTTTCAGAGGAGGATAACTTGGCCTAAATTTGGCAGTTTTTCAACACCAACAGGCATACTTTATCTTTGAAAACTCATGGCGATCGGGGGAGGTTCCGGACGATGGGAAAAAGGCTAATGTAGTGCCCATCTTTAAAAAAGTGAAGGAGGAGGATCCGGGGAACTACAGGCCAGTCAGCCTCACCTCAATCCCTGGAAAAATCATGGAGCAAGTCCTCAAGGAATCAATTCTGAAGCACTTAGAGTAGAGGAAAGTGATCAGGAACAGTCACCATGGATTCACCAAGGGCAAGTCATGCCTGACTAATCTAATTGCCTTCTATGACGAGATAACTGGCTCTGTGGATGAGGGGAAAGCAGTGGACGTGTTATTCCTTGACTTTAGCAAAGCTTTGATACGGTCTCCCACAGTATTCTTGCCAGCAAGTTAAAGAAGTATGGGCTGGATGAATGGACTATAACGTGGATAGAAAGCTGGCTAGACCATTGGGCTCAACGGGTAGTGATCAATGGCTCCATGTCTACTTGGCAGCCGGTATCAAGCAGAGTGCCCCAGGGGTCGGTCTTGGGGCCAGTTTTGTTCAATATCTTCATTAATGATC